TCTTAAACAGTTCTAGACTAACACATGTAACTTGTTTCCCTAAAACCCTTCAGATTATTTAAAGTTCGACTTGACAGACAAGTCTTGTTTGGATTGTAATTTAACCAGTTTCCTTTTTAGTACCTGTCCCTAAAGTCAGAAGACCAAAAAGTTTTTTGTTTGTCTTGTGAAATGAAGTTCTCGATTTTTGTCGATTTCTCTGTATTTAGCATTATTGGTACATTAGGGCAGCAACCGAGTTAGCACACTTACTCTGTATTCCGTCATTCTGCTTATATAACTTTAAACTTCTTTTTATTAGACCCTTTATAAGACTTTAGGATTTTAAAACGTATATTAATTAAGCTTTGTAGAGCTTTCAGACATTTGTTTTGCTCTACTAGCTTATTTTTTTTGGAAAACCAGTCAAGAAAATCTCAATGTAAATTTGACCTGTTTTAACAGTTGAAAATATAAATTGAATAGACGTTTTCGGGGGGAAAGGCTTTAAATACTAAAAATAGACTTATTTTGGTAGAAACTCATTTGAAACAACAATAAGGATGTGGGCAATCAGGATAAAGAATTCTCTGGACGCACGTTTGAAACCGTTTTCAATTGTCTTATTAACAATGGTAACAGTGGTTAAGGGTTTAATTGCACGGGGGGGGGGGTCGCCGGGTGTGATAGCCCCAGACTCTCCGGGGGCCCAAAGGGCTGCACGCTGACATGATGACGCACCCCGGTATCTGGAACTCCAGCACGGCCTCATCTTCTCTCTCTTCTCCAGCTTTCTCCCAGCTACACACTTCCACTCCTTTACAGAGCTGCATGCCTGAGCAGTGTCCCGGAAAAAACAATTGGCTTTGAGCAGCAAAGTACAGAACCGAAACCCCAAACATGAATCTGGTCTATTTCCATTGTTTAGTTTTTTGTTTTGTTTTTTTACCAGCCTCTCGAAGGGGGTGTATTTCATTTTAAATGTTTTTTTTCCTCAATGTTTATATTTTCAATGACGAGGATTCATTTTTCCATTCTTTCTGAGGCGAAAAAGCTATTTCCCCCCTCCTATTTTCTTTTATGTTAATGCGAGCTGTCACTGTTTTAACTCCACAATCCAAAGTACAATGTATGGTAGAAAAAAATGAAGATTTAGTGTGAAATATTGCCTCGGTCGTTCACTCATTCCCCGGCAAAATCACAAATTCAGAGCAATGTTTGGGAAATTGGGGAATCAACTTGTTTCAAATTTGATCAAGGTTACAATATTGGCTGTGTTTTTGTTTCAACATGCTTATGAATGTATTATAACAAGTTGGTTAAACTATTTAGTTGATATGTTTAGACATTTTGTAAGTAAACACTCCTTTCTGACTAAACCTAAAAATGTTATTTGTACAAATTTTTATTAAGACAGGACAACAGATTGCCTTCATTTTGGAGTTTTGCGCGCAAAAGAGAAAGTATTCTTTGCCGAGTTGATGCAAATGCCAACATTTGTAAGGAGAACCGCGCTTTTGATTTATTGATTGTGAAGTTTTTCAAGTCACATGTTTTATCTTATTACTTAATGTTGACCTTTTGTTGATTTATTTTGGAAATATTTGTAAAAACTCAGTGGCCCATGTATTTAAGCTTGTGAGAAGGAGGCGTTCACAAATCTGTGTTTAGCATTCTGCTCCCCGCTTAGTGAAGAGGGTGGGTGGGTGTGCAGTTCCGCCTCTTAACTACAATAGAACATATTCCCACTTTTATTTACAGTTCCAGTATTACCGCTGGAGAGAATGGGATCTGATCTGTTTGCATTATACGTTATGTTTAATGAGGTTAATTTAATAGGAAAAACACTATAAATATATACGGTTTTTGTCCGAACAGTCTGTGCTGTGAATATCTTAATACCAGATTCATTTGTGGAAGGTAACTTGTTTGTGGCTCACTTTCATGAGGGAGATATTTGGAGGATCGGGGACCGGTGAACTCCACCTTGATTTTTTGTTTGTTTGTTTATTTAATTCTTTTCTCAAGTTCCTTTGTTAGCAGTCTGTTGAAGAATGAATGACACATGGAATTAACAGAGAAGGAAATTCAGCTATTTTGTCACTTGGATATTTTCAATCAGATAAAAATATGATCATAGTACAAAATTTTTTATTAAAGTTTCTGCCCTACTCTGCCCATTAAGTCTGACCTCTAAGTTTGACACATTTAAGCCTTTTTATGAATTTTAAATACTACAGATAATGAGTCAGACAGCATCAAAGGTCTTATGCCAGTGTTCAAGCCATGGCTAGAGGAAGGGAAAAGGGGGACTACACACCAAGTCATATCAGAAACTAAGTGGTGTCCACCTGTGACTGACCAAAACTTCACCACACTTCCAGTCCAGAGAAAAGACACCAGTCTACCCCCGCACACATGCTTGCTCTGCAAGGTAGCATGTGAGACAATCTCCCTTTCTTCAAAAAGTGGCAAAGTTGGCAAATGTAGTTGTTGATACAGCGATCTCTGGAGCGTTCCACCATTTATGGCTATGTATTGTTTTATTGACTCGATATGTAAGAGAGGAGGAGCTGAAGTATGCTGTGTTTGTAGGGCATATCAAAATAGAAATACATGTCCTTTGCAGAATTCATTTGATTGTGCGTTACTGTGGAATTATATTATTCTTGGCCTAGATGTTTACACCGATTTTTAAAAGTAAACAATTCCCACGTCAGTATTTTTCCAGTCCAGTCACACTCTGATATTCGTCAGGGCTCCCTCCATCTTATCCTGCTGACTCAAAACTGTGCAGCTGACTTTAATACCGGCAAAAAAACAACAACAACAATAAGTTCACAACATGCCGTAATGCGTGTTCTGTCCTGCCTGCTCCGTCTCCATGTTGAATTTGATATTGAAATGATAAGACTATTTGTCCCCATTTATTTATCCCAGATTTAGTTCCTGCATAAAGTGTAGCTAAAGGTGTTCTGTAGGTGTTCTGTGGGCTGCCAGATAAAATTCAGAGAATGTTTGAAAGGACTGAAATTGATATCTGGATTGATTGCTATAATGTCTTGGTAAAATTTCACCCATATCTGAGATAGCAGGTCCATTTCCATGTATTCCGAGAAGAAGTTTATTAGATAATGAACTGATAAATGACCCCTATAATTTTTACTTTTTTTATGTGTACCAATAATATATTCCAGCAACTCCTACGCTTTTAAAATGTACTCAATTGAAGCCAAAATTCTAGCAAAGAAAAAAAAATTCAGTACACTTGTGATTAGGTAAAGATATATTTGTTGACTCTCTGATTAAGGTCAAATAATTATCTTGTTGTTCCACAGTGTACTAATTCTGATTCAATCAATAGCTTTGTTAGTTTGGGGCAGTGATCTATAAAAGTTCGTATATAGTGTAAGCTATGTTAGTATAGATACAATTAGGGAAACTGAACCGAGTTATTAAGTGAAAAGAGGGGAATGGATCTCCTTTGTTAAACTCATTTGTAGCCCCTCCTACTTGACATCAAAACGGCCTCTGTCCTATACCGGCTTTGTTGAGTCCACTGGTAATTTGAACCCGGTTTTCATGGCCAAAGTAGTGAATACAGAAGAAGTAAGAGCAAGCGTGGGAGTTATTGGAAAAAGCTGTTTTTCTTCCTTGTGTGGATTTCCCCGTGTTGGTTTTCCGTCGGGTCTTTTAGGACAACATACTTTGAGTAAGATAGTAGCCTTGTGAATATTTTTGTCCAGTTCTGATAAAAAAAAAGGTAGAATCCCTGCTGACTGTAGGCCGTGTGTTATGTGCAATTTGTATCATTTCCCTCTATCTAATGAACTCCATAGGTTCTAGGTTTTTCTCATTTGAATGATTAATGTGCTTCCCTCTCCTCAAGCTTTTGCCATTGTTCCTATTAGAGGAAATGTGAGTCTTTACTGAAAGTGAAGTTTGCTTCTTGCCTTGCTTATTCCACGAGGAAGGGGAAGCGTTTTCCGTTTGATTGTTCAAAAACACGGATATATTACTCTTCACAGTATTAGTGCCTTGTCTAACTCGGGTTTCCTTGGTGCTGGAAAACATGGGCAGCGCTTTCTGTATCCAGGCGACCGTTTGAAAAATGTCATGCATCCTGTTGCTTCTGTGATTTAGAATGCTTTGGTTTTTCTCTGTCATGACAGAGAAGCCTTATTTCTATGCTTCTGTATTGGGTTGAGTCTGCTCAGGCATGGGTTTGTTGGATGGCACATTTGCATGGATTGCCATAGGGGATGTGCTTGCTGGATGACGAGCCCCGGCCCTGGCACATGATAACGCACAGAGAGAGAGCAGGCCTGGCTGCACATCGGGCAGCAGAGAGAGGACAGAAGCAGAGTTTGGGTCAGCGTCTCAGGACAGTGTGGCCACATGACGGGAGGGCCGGGCCTCATGGTAAATGAGTCACCCGACCAGGTGTCTTAGATGAGAGCGCCTCCTGTTGTCTCTCCGTCCTACCACAGAAAAAAGCTATTCATCCCCGAGGGGCAGAAAGGAAGCTCTGCCTAATGGAAAAGCCTTCATTTTCAGTCAGCAGATGTAGTATTAAAATATGAGATGCAAGAAAACATATCCTGTATAGTTTAGGGTTATGAAATAAATACATTTAAAAAACCTTCTCTGAGGGGGTTGGTTATCTATTAGATATAAGATTTGTAGAAGATCTGAATCGGTACAAATCGGAACCGGTTAGTCAGACCTAAAAAAATAAAATAAAAACTTGGCCAGAATGAGTCTAAAAATACTGGAGTCAGTCAGTGGCCTGCCTCTTCAGATACTCACAAGTCTGTAGTCGATTGTAATGAAATAATATTGTTAATATTAGAATGAACCACAGCATCACCATTCTCACAAGTGTTCAGTCTGGTGGCCATTTTGTTCCAAGTTCTTCAGAGCTATGGATATGTCTAAATATACATAACATATACCTAGATGTCCTGTCCCCCCCCTTTTTTTTTCTACATCCCACTCCATCTCACAGTTTCCCTCTCTTCTCAGGTCCCCGATGACCGTGAGCGGGGCAGTGCGGCTCTGCGGCGCCCCACCTCTGGAGTGGTCTGCTGCTGGAGTTTGGACCTTGTGATTCTTGTCTTCTTCCTCTCTTCCCCATCCTGTCCGTCCTCTCCCCCTCCCCCTTTCCCCCCTTGTCCCCCCTCCCATGCGTCGTGGTGTTGGACGTCATGAGCATAGTAATTGCACTGGGAGTCACTACACCTGAAACGTCTTACTCAGATATGGCTGCTGGATCAGAGTAAGTAGTCGGTATAATGATGCGTGTGTGTTTGTGTGTGCGCGTGCGTGTTTATGTTATGTTTATGTTTTAAGCAGACACTTTTATCCAAAGGGACTTGCCATGCAGATACAACATTACAGTTAGCATCAACCTAACAATACGCTACATGGAGGGAACTCACTCGTCAGGCTTTGTTGGAGGCGTTAGTGTTGAGGGAAGTACAGAAGGATTGGTGGGGAGGTACCAGTTAAGAGTTAGGGTAGGACACGCTCTCTGAAGAGCTGGGTCTTTGAGAATTACACGGTCTTTGTATCGCTCGATAGGTCATTCCACCATCGTGGAACAGCTCTTGAAAATATTCCGGATTGTCTTAAGCGTGGTGTAAGCACTGCTAAATGACCACCCTTGATGACCGCAGTGACCAAGTTCGGGACATAAGCCTTTGTCAGAGTAGTCAAGTAAAAAAGAGCGGTACCCTTAAGTAATTTGGAGGCTAACATTAGTGACTTGATTTTGAAACAGGAGGCCAAGGGTAGCCAGTGAAGCTCAACCAAAAGAGGGGGGAGGTGGGATTTGTCAGGCTGATTGAAGTAAAGACCCAGCGGTGCATTCTGGGTCATTTGTAGAGGTTTTACAGTACAAGTTGGGAGAGCAATCAGGATAGTGTTGCAATAGTCAAGTCAAGAAATAAACATAGACTACTCCAGGAGCTGGGTTAGGTACGGCCAGATCTTTCTTATGTTTAGTAAGCAACACCATGGAACAACGGAGGCAACGTGATCTTTAAAGGTCATCTGGTCATCACGCAACTTTCTAGCTGCCTTTGATGCAGCAAGAGAGAGATATTCATTTTGGATGTAAATACTGTGGTGTATAGTTGGTTTGGCTGGGAAGACAAGCAGTTCAGTTATAGAGAGATTTAGTTGGAGGTGATGGGCTTTCACCCATATTGATATGTCAGAGAGACATTCCGAGATATGAGCTAAGACCATGTGGTTTAAGGTGGGAATGGCAGTAAGAGCTGGGTATCATCAGCAAAGCAGTGAAATGAGAAGCCATGTTATCAGATGATCCTGCCCAATGAGGTGGGCCAATAGTGAACCCTGGGGGACAGCTGTGGAGAGGTGGCACACTGCACAAGTGTGACCGAGCCAGGATACTTGGAATGAACGACCAGTGACTTACGAGATGCCCATGCTCAAGAGAATAGACAGAAGGATGTCATGATTGACTGTGTCCAATGCAGCCGACAGGTCGAGTAGGTACTGAGTACTGAGGACTTGGCTCTGGCTTCTAGTAAGGCTTCTGTCACAGCCAGCAGAGAGCAATTTCTGTGAAAAGGCCACTTTTAAACCCCGGTTGGTTTGTGTTCGGGCGTGGACAGCTTGGTAAATCATTTGCTTATAGCCAAGACTTCAGTTAAAAGATGAGACGAAAGTGTCTGTCGTAAGATTGGTAAAAAGTGGCAGACCACCTTCTTCTGCCACCTTCTACCAATCTTACTATAGACATATTGTTTCCAGGTGTCATTAGTATTGTGGATCTAATTCATACAGCCTTTGATACATCGGTGACACTCAATGAGAACGCTGACTGTTGTGCTGGGAATTCTGTGAGATCTGCCATTTTCTTTCTGCAGCTCCTCAGCTGGTGCAGAGTAATTTGAGGGTATCATTATGCCATGAGTAGGACTGAGAGGATTGAGAGTGTTTGGCTGGATAGAAGTCACAAACTATCAAAATAAGAGCTTAATGTTGAGCAGAGGGACTCTCATTAATCTCAAGGTTTTTTATGTTGGAATATCGGATGCAACAAGGGAGGAGAAGCAGGTGGGGGAAAGGCAGTGGAGGTTAAAGTGGAACAAAATTGTGGTGTGAAAGCAGAGTGTCTTTGAGGGAGGCTCACTTTGAATTGAAAGAAATGGTGGTCAGCAAACTGAGGAGGTGCCGGCTTTGTGAGTCGGAGGACCACAGCACAGACCAGTCGTAGCTCAAACGAGTGCATTAATGACAGAAAATGAGTTCTGTCAAAGTGGACAAATGGACCATTATGGGACAGTCTTGTTCACGAACAGAAGAGAGCTAAATGTCTAGTTCTTCTAGAAAGTCACCCAAGTTGTCCTGGTGGGCAATGTATGAGAATCATTTGTTTTTTTTTTCTGGTGCAGTCACCAAGATGGCATGGTATTCAAAGGTATTTTAGTTTGCATTCGGTATCAGTTGGTTGTATTTCCATTTTGTTGGAAATTACCCTAGCCGAACCGTTCCACCACCTCACCCGGGTTTACGACAGGCGTGGGAGAATGTGTGTTTGGTCGAAAGTGGAGCTGGGATAGCCGTGTGTTCAGGCTTAATCCAGGTCCCAGTGAGAGCCAGGATGTCAATACAGACACAATGTATATGGGTATGTGTGCATTTGTGTGTCTTTATAGACTTGTGTGTGTGTGGATAGATGGATGGATGGATTTATAGATAGATAGATGGATGGATGGATCTATATCTGTGTGTGTATATGTTTGTTTGTATACACATGGGGTGTATTTTAATTTGTATATGTTCTCTCTTTTCTTTTTTCTAGCCCTGAGTCAGTTGAAGCAAGCCCTGCAGTAAATGAAAAAAACTTCAACCACAGCTGTGGGAGTGCACAGAGTCATGGGTATCGGGGACTACCATATGCTGTGAGTTTACAAAGCTTTTCTTAAATCACAAAAATCTTTCCAATCAAATTATGCCCACTTTTTAAGTAAGTATTACTCTCTATTAATATGAGTCTGTAATTATCTCTATTTATATTACAATAAGATAGATTTGAATAGTCAAAGTGATGACCACATTAAATCTATCAATCTCTCCTTTTTTTTCCTTTACTTTTCTAATTACTTGGTCTATATAGATAGTATTGTCAACGTTAAATTAAAGGTTAGCATTGTCTATAGCTTTAGAACAAGTGTCTTTCCTGCTATTGATCTATTATATTCACAGCCTATTTTGATTATAACAGAACTGTTTCACATTCCTGTTTTTTGCCCTCATTTTCATTTGTCTCCATTTTCCGTTTCCCTTTTTGCCTGAACACCCGTTGTTTGAAGATGCAACAGTCTTCCGTTGTGTGTTGTCAGGATCACAACTATGGCGCGCCCCCTCCCCCAACCCCACCTGCCTCCCCGCTCTCCCAAACCATCATTCCCCGCATGGATCTCAACAGCGTGGTACACCACTCCTGCTATTACAAAGGTACTGAGGACAACTCAGCCGACAGCGACAGCTCCTCAGAGGAAGATGGAGTAGTCCCCAGCTGGTGCCACTGCAACCAGACACTAGACGGCTTGGTCAGCTGCAGGTGAGAATTTCAAACATTCGCCCAGGACCACGAAACAACGTTACAATTAGCAGAACTAGGTTTCTCTCATCTCCAAATCATTTGTTGTCCATCTTAATCTCAACTGTTGTATTTTGTTCTGCAGGGAACTGGACAGGAGGAAAGGAGCAGATGGCCAACAAAGAAAAACTGAAAATGTCTCAGGTAGGGTGGCCAGTCAACACCAAACTGCTTTAACCCTTTAAAGCCTGATCCAAGAATAAAACAAAACAGAAAATTACTTTTTTTTGTTTGAATTCCTTATTTGGCCTTTTAACAAAATATGTAAAAATAAAAAACAAAAATAAAATGTTAATATTAATAATTTATTACTATGCGATAAGTCAAGATTATTTTTTGTGTAGTCTTCTGCCCCCTGTTATCGGGTGTATCTGATTGTGTACAATAGGATTTTGAGCAAAGTTTTTACCATTAAATTATGCAAAAGGTGTCGAACGCAAAACATTTCAGAAACCGTATCAAATATGATACATTTGGCATTACAGGGTTAAACACATGTTCCCTGTAGGTGTGTGTCTGTGTGGATAAATTACTTTTCTTCTTTCTGAACAGCTGGAGAAAGCAGTGCAACAGAAAGTGGCGATGAAGAGGTTTCACCTTCCACCATCTCCTACACGGCCACCCAGCATACTCCCACCAGCATAAAACTTACTGTCAACCGAATCAAAAGAAGCAAATCCAAAAAGAGGAAAAAGAGCACAGAGAAAGCACGCGGAACACCAAAGGAAAAGAAAGTTAAGGCATGTGAAGTGCTGGCCACAATAGCCGTAACTCCTGGGAGAATATCCCATTCAATTGAAGTCTTTTTATACCTCAGAATACCTCAGTAAGGTTTTCCCATTGTGCAATTAATGTTATTTGTCTTTCATGGAGTTATTTCCCCTCTTTCAGGCTTTCAGAGAAGGTTCTAGAAAATCAATGAGGATGAAGGTAAGACCGAAAGCCTACCTTTTATGGGATGTTATGGCTTTCGGTCTAAAAAGTCTTCATGCTAAATCTTTTCTCCTGTTTTAGAACTCAACCACAGAGGCCAGCGTGCTAGATGAGAATACAGCCGAGGGGTGGGAAAGTAAAATCCGCCAGTGGACGGACCAGTATGAGGAGGCTCTGGCTAACCAGTACAGCGCTGATATTCAGATGCTGCTCCAGCTTCACGGCTCCACGGTCTCCAAGGTGGAGAGTGGCAGCACTACGCCTCTTTCCACCACACAGATGCACGCCTCCGTTGACGCCATGGACACCATTAATCGCACTGAGCTGGCCTGTAACAATACAGTGCTGGGCTCTCAAATGCAGGTCAGTCCAAGTCCTTGTTAAAAAAAAAAAAACAACATGCTTAAATCAGCATAAGCAAAAATCCCTCAGAAAACAACGTCAAACAAAGCACACATTTATTAAACCTCTTACTTGTGACTTTTTGCTAACCACCGAAAACAAAAAGATGTATGTATTTTCACACATACTGCACAAATGTGTCTATTGAGTAACTTCACTCACCTGTTAGAATTGTATGCTTGGCTTTGTTGGAGCGGGCCGCCTGCAAATAAAGTCTCAGAATCACGTGTGGGAGGTTTTTCAACAGCTGCAAAAAAATGATCACGGTTTGCTTTTCACAGCTCCAACTGGGACGGGTAACACGGGTACAGAAACACAGGAAGATCCTTCGAGCCGCAAAAAACCTGGAACCAGACACACTTATCATAGAGTATCGGGGAAAGGTCATGCTTAAACAACAGTTTGAAGTCAATGGGCACTTTTTCAAAAAGTAAGAGGTCAAAGAGTTACTTCACTACATGTACATACAATCTATAGGCACATGCAGTAATGTCTTTACTTGTATTTGACACCTGTGTATCATATTTTTGCAGGCCTTATCCTTTTGTGTTGTTCTATTCAAAATTTAACGATGTAGAAATGTGTGTTGATGCAAGGACATTTGGAAACGATGCCAGATTTATCAGGAGGTCCTGCACGCCTAATGCCGAGGTCAGTTATTGAACTTTCTTATCTAATTCTGTCCTTGCATTTTGTGTTCTCACGCTGTTGTTTCTGAGCAAGATTTCATTTCCAATGCCTTTGCAACCGTCCACAGGTCCGGCATATGATTGCTGATGGAATGATACATCTGTGTATCTATGCCGTTAGTCAAATTGCAAAGGACTCTGAAGTCACGATTGGATTTGACTACGAGTTCAACAGCTGGTCAGTCATGCTTCTCACTTAACACCACTGCCCTTTGAGCCTCATTTTAGTCAGCAGTTAAGTGTATTTTATTCAGTTTTCTGTTGTATATATACAGATATGTTTGTTTGTTTTTTTGTTCCAATCTACAGTAATTATAAAGTGGACTGTGCCTGCCATAAGGGCAACCAGAACTGCCCCGTGCAGAAACACAATATGAGCCCACGGGAGAGCTTGCTGAGTCCTCCATCTCTGCCTCCTCCCTCTCCAATTGTTGGTGCGGAGACCCGGCGGAGAAAAGCAAGACGGAAAGAGCTGGAGGGCTGTCTGGCCAGTGACGGTAACAAGTCCCTCGACCAGCAGCCCGAGTCCAAAGATCTGCACGGAAACAGTGACACAGAGGTTTGCTTAACTCTAGCAAATCTGATGACATTTCTCGAAAAATAATTGTTTTATGATCCGTTTTGATTGAACTCCATCTAACATTAACAAGGCTTCAAATGGCAAATGAAGTGTTCTATAGAATTGGCTATTAGTTTTTAAGAATACCCTTTTTTTTAGCTCTTTGTCTGCATGTTAGGTCAGATTTTCTTTCTTACATACCTACCTGTGTGTGCAACCAGGAGAGACCACTGGAGGAGATTAAAGTGGAAGGACAGGAAGTGGAGCTGGATGAAAATGGGCTTGCTACCTCCAGTAAAAGAGTAAGCTCATTCTACAAACAATCATTTTAAATAGCTGCTATATCAATGCTTCTTTTGACTTGTAAGCAAAACAGCCACCTGGAGGACAACATTCTTCTGTGTTCTTGCATAGATGTCTAACAGCCTGGAAAGGAGGAGGAGAAGGGTTGGGGGAGCTGAGGTTAAGGATGAGGTTGTGGAAATTGAGGATGGGGCAGGAAACCCCGCAGGGAATACCTCGATATCCCACAGCACCGGAGTGGGGGTCAGCACACGACGTACCACCTACGTCATGGTGAGTTAGAAGAAAGGCTTTGTTCCTGTAAGCCATTATTGTCGCCACAGTTTTTATTGATTTTCTTCATTCACACATGCTTTCACAGGATCCCCTGCCAACTGAAGAAAAGATGCCATTAACCAATCCCCCTGCCCCGGCCGCTCCCACCAAACCTACCAGGAATACCAAGCCCCGGCCCAAAAGTCGGATGTCGCGCTACCGGTCAAACTCATCCCAGCGTGCCCGGCGCCAGCGCCAAGCACTCGCCCAGCAGCCAGCAGCGCTGGCCTCCGCTGTAGCCTCGGCCCAGACATCCGCCGAGCAGACCGCTGCTGTCCACAGGGAGGGGGCTCAGGGCCCGTACGGGGCCGAGCACGGTCACGGCGACTGTAGCCTTGCAGGTCATATCGTGGACGGCGATGGCCAGGGCCTACACAGCATTAACAGAAGCAACATGCGCCACCCAAAGACCAAAAAGGTTTGTGCTCGTCCCGAAGGATTCGGAGAGCCCTGCCCTTTTCTCCAACAAGCAAAGATTCCTTCGTCAGGCTATTTTTTTAATCTGTCCTGTAGTTCAACATGTTTTTGTTGTTGTTTTTTTGTTTTTGTAATAATCGCAGTACCTCGTGACTGAATGGTTAAAGGACAAGGTCCCCGCAGGGGAGAAAGTTCCCCAAGAGATGCCTGTTGAACGCCCACTGCGAATAACTACTGACCCCACAGTGCTCGCCACCACCCTCAACATGCTTCCCGGCCTGTCCCACCCGTCACTCATCTGTACAACACCCAGACACTACATTCGTTTCGGCTCCCCGTTTAACCCCGAGAGGCGCCGGCCCCGCCCACTCCAAATGGACGGCACCTACGGATGCTACAAAAAGGTGGAAAAGAACGAAGCACCGGAATGGCAGTTTTTGTGTTCTTAACCGCTCAGCCACATGCTGAAAGATTTTTAGTGTTTGCTGCTTAAATTTGTGGGAAATGTTGTATTTTCATACCCAAATCTCCCAAAAAGTTAAATTTGAGAAGTGTCTTCACAGTTTTTACAAACGATCAAATTCTGGTCGAAGGAAACTACGAGGCTTTTTGCATCTAAAGACATGTTGAGGGGCAACGCATGTAAAACATTCTTTGTTCACTCTAAATTTAACTTGGCTGACGCCCTCTTTTTGTGTGCTTGTATGGTTTTTGTCTTCGTGCAGAGATGGATCAAGCAGGTGGTGGATGAGAGCTGCTCGACCAGTGTGGAGGACGGCACTGACTCCACCTCATCCCAGCAAAGCACCAGTAGTAGGTCTACCCCCAACCCCCTGTGCAGCGGTAAGTGCTCCCCCCACAGTCAGCGGATGGGTATCTGTCCTTTTCACTTCTTCATAATATTGTTGTACGATTGATGATTTTCCAATTTGCAGAAGTCAACGCACCATTTAAAAAGCGACGCTGCAAGTACATGACTGAAACGGCATCAGCACCTTCGGACCACATGCTTCACCCATTGTCCCCCATCACACCACCACTACCAGAGGACTCCCTCCACCCGCTGCTCCACCCTCCATGTGGCTCTCTGCTGCCCAACGGTCTGGCTTACTCACCCATGCCCTCGCTGCCGACCAGCCGCTGCAACACCCCTCTTCAGTTTGAAGTAAGACCACAACATATATATAAAGTCACAAATATAACTCCCAACACCTGTCTTTTACCACTGGTACGACACAATCGGACATATACAGCATCAATGCCCCACTTCAATAAAAATCATCATGCTTTACTACCACTTTAGTAACCGATTTTCAAAATAAGAACCGAGTTGAAGTACTTGAGGTTCTTCTAAGACAGAGTAGTTGCCATGACATGGATATGACCAAGCTTCCAGATACTAATTTTGAAGGTTTATTTCAAAACGGTTAAATACGTATGTCGATATTAATCCAACTTCTACCACTGTATATTTGATGGTTGGTGTTATTTAAAGTGTTATGCGTTCATCAATGTGGTTGAACTGTTTTGATGTAAATTTGGAGCAGATCATATAGTAAAAGCATAGATTAAAAACTGACAAGAAATAGTGAGCACGTTCACGTTATAAAGTGTAGCCTTTGTTTTGTTCTCTAGAACATATCATCTCCTGAGGCGTCTCCTGTACATCGGCCAGAGTCTCTCTCTCCAGAGGTATGTTTTCATCTCCGTACTTCCAAACTCTATAGACAATGCAGATGTGATCATGTTGCTTTCTCGCTCTCTCCCTCCCCTCTCAGCCGTGTGGTCAGGCCGACTTTGAGGCTTCACGCCACCAGTTCCCGGACCTGTCCCTTCCCTCCAGTTTGGAAAGCACTGCAGCCATGGCCTCAGATGACTTTACGCTTACTGGGATTGCTTTGGGCCAAGACTCCGAATGTCCATCCTCTGCAGGGGCTAGTTCCATAAACTTTGTGTCGGGTCCTTCCTCTGACTCCCAGAACAGGGAACAGGCCTTCAGGACAGAGTTCAACCTCATATACACCTGCTCACCCCTCAACGCAAACCTAGGAAACTCTGTGACAACCGACCGCCGCCTTTCCCAGTTGGATGAAAGCTACTCCTCAGCAGACTCCTTACACAGTTCCTTAGGTGGCCCGGGCCTGGCAGGAGATCTGGGCTCGGGTTCCATGTCACCTTACGGGGATCCTCATTATGGCTCAGGCTACCTCGACAATAGTACTCCTCCTTACACTGGAAATCCTCCACAGAAGAAGAAGGCAAGTTTTCCGATTTTTTAAAAATATTTTGAAGTGAAGTAGCGTTGCTTTTCTTTGTCGAGCACAAATGAGGGATATCTGTGAGCAGATAAGCCAGACTGCCGGGTCTTCTTTCTCATTTCCCTTCATGCTTTCCTATTGACTTAAACATGTCGCTTGGATCCTTGTCAGGTAGTCTAACCCCTTCACAGCAGGCCCAGGCCATTTTCTCATTCTATTTTTCAATCTGAAGTGATTGTGCATCTGTAATTTTAACCCTCCACGATTCCTCCTTCCCCTTCCTATCCTTCAATGCTCCTTGATGCTCTTTGCCAAGTCTCTCTTCCACTCTTTTTTCCAAGGCAGAAGGTCAACCAGCATACCATTAGTCTGCTGACAGGAAAGGCAGATAACCAGCCTATATCTGTAAGAAGTGAAAACAAGCCAGTACAGACTATGGTGAATATGCTCCCTACAATTACATCCTTAGAAGTGTGCATGTACATATTGTTTCTTTGCATCTGCATACAACACCCACTCCATGCTCTAAAAACCTTGCCCCTCCCTTGAAACCTCAATTGAGTGATACATTTTAGTTTAAGAATGATCTAGGTTCTTAAGCCATTTCAGTCAAACCGATGTGAATGTCTAAACGTTCCTCCACTGCCTTCAACACAACAGGCCAACGGGTCCGGAATTCTCATGATGTTATTGGACTGAATCAGCATGTCTTTGCACCATTTCAATTATGGATCTTTCTAAATATTAACTAGTGTGCGAGGCAGGTATTTAATGCAACAACTTCACCATTTACACCTCAAAACCATCCCGGATGCGTACCTGTATGTCCTTTGAACGGACTCTTAAAACCTTCTGAAAAGCTATAGCCACAGCAGTAGAATTTCAGTCTCGTTATTGTCAATTCTAGTTGACACATAAGCCGCATGCTTTGATAGAAAATGAACAGAATTCCTGTTGTATAAAAAGCAGATAGCAAAGGAGATTATTTTTTATGAATGGGTGAGTCAGGCCTGTGCAGTTTTTAATTAAACTGATGGCAACTGAACTTTTCTGTGTTGTTTGTGAATAAATTCCCTCTTGTTTTTTCCCAAATATTTTTGCAGAAGAAATCGGACCAGCACAGACATAGTACTGCAAACAAGTCAGTTGCAACATGGCATGATTCTGAACCTCTGTCATCATATCAATTTATAAGAAGACACAGTAGCAATATGTTAAATTTGGATTCGATTCCAAATTTTGCATAGGATTAGCATCATTAGAAAAACCTGGCATAACTCTTCCCTTTAATTGTTGGCGGCTAGGATGTGTTGCGGAACTTTATTTTTTAGTATCTGGTTAAAATGGACGACAGAAGCCTCTCTTTTCTGAATTTCCTACTGCTTCTATCCTACCAATTTCTGTCCAATGCTCCAGAAGTTCACACCAGAACTAGTGTGTGTGTGTGTGTGTGTGTGTATGTGTGTGTGTGTGTGTGCAATGTGCTTTGCTGAGCTGCTTTGATTTAGCCACATATCGGTATTTCAACCAAGAACAGCAGCTGCTGTACACCGGTTTTTAATACAGTGACGCATCCCATAATCTTTATGTTATAAGAGTCAAAAAGTGAAAGCAAGATCGTATATTATAAATATTAATTGAATTATTCGTTCCTTTACATGACCGGCCATCTTTATAATATGAAAGCTTAGTCTGTCAAAAATATTTCCTCCTCACTGGTGTCTGGGTGTATTTTGCTGTTATAACGTCGGCATGGTGATGAACTAATGGTTTGAAATGTTCTTAGCTGAGAACCGGTTCCTTTGCGCATACCTAGCATGTGAAAACCCCTGGAAATGACTAGCACCACGAGGCGCGTTGCATGGAGCTGGTGTGGCTCTTTTGATAGGCCGATGTGGAAGCAGAGCTGAAAAATCAGAAAAGCAAACTCCTCCACTTGGTTACATTAAATGAAAAGTAGCACAGTAATGCTATGAGAAACCTCTGAGCTCATATTTTCTCCCCCTCTCAAAGACAGTAAAGATATGGTGAAGTCCACAAGTGAAGTGAAAGATCAGGTATTTGATAGGTTTATTAGATTCTCTCTAATATGTCGCCATATTAAGTGACTATTCAGTAAGCCTGAACACATTTTATACATCTTTCTATCTCGACGGATAGCGAGCCCATTTCCACGACTTTTACTCTGTTGACTTATTTATTGTATCCTTCTGTTAAAAGCCCCATAAAAGAAAAGCATGCAGTTGCTGTATTGGTTTGAAAAGGTTAAATGACTCCAGAAAGCAAATGTTTGTATTTTCACTAAAGTTATGGAAGTTGTAACGGACACACTTCACTCCAAAAGTGTGTCTCTGTAAATTCCTAGTCATCCAAGTCACAGTATTCCCAAATGCTTGAATGGAAGGTGAGTACATTTTTCTTGATGTAGCTCCTTAAACCAGTCAGAAGCAGAAATTAGTCTAAATCTAAAAAATATAGGACAGCAATGTACACACTTTTGGAGAGGGTAGTTTCAAAGAGATGCATGTTAATTGGGGGAAATACAAGAAAACCAAGGTGTTGGTCTAATGTATCAGAATACCCACTGGGTGGGTCAGAGCCTCACCTTTGACCTCAAAGCCTGAAAGTCTTAATCCATCAGTTGGAGCTGAGGACGTCTTTAAAAAGACAGCAGAAGTGGTCGCATTGGCCTCTTGTTTTCCGATATTTGTGAAAACCGTATGTGTCAGGCGTAAAGGCCATGTTTACTCAGCGCAGCAGTGAGATTATATCCTTTAGTGAAATGTGGATTTCAGTAAGTAGCACTGCTTCTCACTGGAATGAAGGGGATGGAATGATAATCTCTAATGCCGGCTGAGTTGGACAGAAAGAAATTCAGCAAAATCTTCATTTTGGGAGACATGAACGAGGAAGAGGCTCTGGATGTGACGTCACACGTGGATCAAATGCCGATCAAATTCATTCACAGTTGACTTAAGACAGCCAGATCTAGGCAGGGCCCATTTCACAGGAAAGTATATCCTTTATTGCAGTGTTTTTCAACCCCTGGTCCTCGGTACACTAGTGTGCCGTTAGTGATGGTCAGGTGTAGAAAATCATCCTATTTCACCTCATTGGTCTAAAATAATTTTTTGATAAGGAATTAATTTTCTGCAAATAATATTCCATTTTTGAGTGTCTGTGCTGTAGTAATGACTGGTGGAGTAATCATGTAATAACTCCTTATGACTAGATTTTGTATATAATTTTGCATATTGAAGTGGACATGTTAAGTGCAATTTGAAAGAAGAAATATAAAATAAGATAAAAATAGATTTTTGTGTTTATTTGATTCCTATTCAAGACACTTAAGATAAGACTTAGACTTAGACTTCCTTTATTGTCATTGTACAAAAAACAAGGTGAATCTTGACAAAGAAATGTCGATTACTTGATAAGATAAGAATAACTATAGTGTTACTATAGGCGGCTACAGATTTGTTTGACATTTTTGTTTGGTGGTGTGCCTCGAGATTTATTCTATGAAAAAATGTACCTTGGCTCAAAAAAGGTTGAAAAACACCGCTTTATTGTATCAAAAAACACACAGCTGCAAAGACGCGTATGTGGAAAGTGCCGGAAAACCTGGAGGGTTTTCATTTGCCTCCATGACAAACCGGGGGACAGAAGCTGGGTCAGGTTTTTCACACATCTCTGGGACCAGCGTGCCGTAGCCTAACACACAGATTTCCATCAATGCCAGTAAAGCCAGTAAAGAACCAAGAGTTTGATCCAACAGTGGGTTTTAATCAACTTTTATTAAAGAAAACAACCAAAAAAGACATGTTATCCGAAGCTTTAGTCGGCAGCTTTCAGTGCTCTGTGACAGGATTAGGAATTCTACAGTCTTTTCCTCAGAATTCCCACTCCCATGCTGTCAGTCTTTGGCTGTGTGGCATCATCCCACTCCTTTACTCTCTCATCCACCCGTCCATTCCTATTTTCTGTCATGTTCACATGACACTGGGGTGAGCGCTCTCATCCTCATTGTGGTTAATGGCGGTGTGTGTCCGTGTTGTGTGCGTGTCGCTGCCTGACCCTCTTTGTGAACGTTCCCGTGAACGTTCCCGTGTCCGTGCAGTGCTGTGGGTGTGGTTGCATTTTGGCCTCGTGCATCAGCCGTTGCCTTGCCTCCGAAGCTGTGTGTCCCTTTGAATTGACCGTCTCCAGTGACCTGCGCTGTGCTTTGTCTGAGTGTCCCTCAGTGCCACAAACGGAGAATAGTGGTAATTGTTTAATCGAGTTGTAAATGTTAAAGTGAGGGCCGTGTTTATTTCCCATGTGACTGGACGGCGCGGGGTGTTTTAAGGTCAGACGTCTCCGTGTGGTGCATGTGGTCTGCCCATCATGCAAATGAGCAGCTTTGGGTCATGATGTCATGGTCAGCAGCCTGGACTGGTGAGCAGATAGCGTCTAACCCCCCCCCCCCCCCCCCCCCCCCTCCTGTGCCTCAGGTGTCTCTGCTGGAATACCGTAAGAGGAAGCAGGGCAGCGGCCGCGACTCCGACCTGGTCAGCCTGAGCTCCCCGCGCCCCGCCGGCCACACCCACCCCGGACCCCCCCCCCCCGGCCACACCCACCCCGGCCCCCGCTACAGCAAGGGCCCCCGCCACCACCCCTTCTTTCAGCACACGCAGCCCCACCCCCCCGCCTTCCCACAGATCGAGGAGGTCAGTCCTCCGGACCACCACGGCTTACCGGTCAAATCCAAAGGCCAAGACAGCAACAACCAATGGTGAGAGGCCACATTTAACCATTTAAAGCCCGTTCCAAGAAGAAATATTGTGAATTTTTTTAATTATTTTGGATCTGTAGACTTTATTTTGGCCCTTTCAGAAACTATGAAAAAAAAGACTGAAAAATGTTTTCATATCTATCATTTATTACTGTGATAAATCAAAATGATTGTCATGTAATCTTCTGCCCGCTCTTATCAGGTATAGCTGATTGTGTACAACAGTGTTTTAAGCCAAGTTTTTATCATTAAATAATGCAAAAAGATTAACTTTAAAGCACTTCATAAAACAGCAGGGTTAGAAGGTTGCTGGGATATTTTATTTTATTTTTTATTTTTTGGGTTTGTGATCAGAACTGGAAAATAACATTGGTACTTGTGCTTTTCCCAAGGATGGTGCCCACCACCGTTGAACGTTTAAGGGAAGGCCAGGGGGTTTTGGAGCGGGTTCTGAGGAGCATAAAGACAGAACGGGTTTACAAACGGAGCGATGGACCATCGGAGAGGGAGCCCGGTAAGAAAAGCACCACAAGCCTCAGGAAACCCGAACAAGTGCTGGAATATTTCCACCACAGACATGCAAATGGGTTTCTCTAACTTTACCTTCAGCCGGACTTTGTTGGTGTTGTTTTTTCAGTGTTTCACTTCATCCTCTTTTCCGTTTTCAGACGCAGATCGATGTAAAGCGCAAGTATTGTCGGTGGCTTCCTCCAAAAAGAGTCCGCACAGACACAGCCCCCCCGTTATCTCACACCAGGTACGCTGTGCGTAGTGTTGTCAGCACGCTCACTCTGCCTAGCACACAACCTCCCACTGGAATCACATTTTTGTCCTAGTACATGAGAGATTTTAGGTGTGTTCATTGTATTTATTATGGGTTCCGCTAGTTGTCTTGTTGCACATGCTTGTCTGTGGAAGTTTTAAAAGGAGCCAAGTTGTAAATAGATGTCATATTTCTACCATTCTTTTTTTTTTTACTTTGACTAGTCAGGATATTTATTGTATGAACAAAGTTCAGTTGTGAGTGAGACCAACAATAAGGCTTGTTTACCTTTCTGTTTGTTTAAATGATTATTTTTTAAGCCATTATTGATTTATTTTTTAACCAGTGCCTGCGTTCGGCACTTTTAAGTGTTAGAAATGTAATTACCATTCTCTGACTCGTATTATTTGCATGATCATTTTCTGTTTGTATGGAGCGTGGGTGAATCCAGTTTTGAGTATTCACATTACACCACCATTCTTCTCACCTATAGATTCCAGCCGTTTTTCTTTCCCTCTTGAATGTGATTGCTGTGGGGCTAGCCTGCTGTTCAAACCCTGCAGTTCATAACCGTCCACTGAGTTTGTGTCGTTGTGTGTGTTTAGTCAACAGAGAGCCACAGACAGTGCGATAGCCCCTCATTTCTCCAGCAGACCTCTCACTCTCCGTTACCCAGTTCCGTTAGCCCGTCTCCCGGCCAGAGCTTCTACCCGCGCCTGTCGTCCCTCCCCGGGCTGGCCCAGGACTACCCCCAGGCCTCCTACTCCACTGCCCCGGCCTTCTGCGAGTCCAGACCCCCGCTGGACGCCCCGCCCCACCAGCAGAGCGCGGGCAGTAACTGTGAGAAGGCCTACGGCGCCGGCCCCGCTAAAGCCCGTCTGCTGAAGGGCAGCACCCCCCACCCCCACCCCCCCGGCCCGGTCAGAGCGGACCCGGACGGCTCCCCCGCAGGCCTGAGGTCCGGCAGCCCTGGTCAGGCAGGGCTGCTGACCGGCCCCGCCCCCCCCCAGTTCCCCCAGCGGGGGCCGGGCCTCGGCCAGTTCCAGCACTCCCCCCTCCAGGGACCTGGAGTAAGGACGCAGTCAGGAAGCTTTTGAGTCCTCGTGTTAGTGAATATGCGTGTGTGTGTGTGTCTGTGAGCGGGTGTGTGTGTGTGTGTGTGAGCTCCCTGGGGCCGGGGCGGGGGGGCCGGGCGGGGAGTGCAAATGTACAGACCTAAGAGGAGCAAGAATCTCTTGCTAGATTTCTTCTTTTCCTATCCACCCCCCCCTTTTTTTTTTATTTTAACAAAAGAAATTACATTACCACATTGTGCACATTGTTGAAAATTGACTTTGGACATCATTACATAATCAGCGGTGGAGAAAAAAACCTACCTGGACACATTCTAGAGCATTGAGAATTCACAAAGAATGCAGGTAATCTCATGGAAGTAGAAATTCCCCTCGTATTCCCTTCTAAAGTGCAAAAAGCAAGGCTCTGCAACAACAAAATAAAGTTCCCGGCCTGTTGCTATGGTTCCCACATTGGTCAAATCCACATGTAACCAAAAGAGAAAGGTTTTTGTTTTAGTTTGACTCTGAGTCTGGTCTGTGCTACTGTAGTTATGCAAGAAAACCCCTCGGTTCTGAAGAAGCGTGGCGTTCTGGAACATTCCGTGGACTTACCAGCTTCCATTTCTGTTTGTCAGTTGGACAGAAACGGGCCGGTCGTTTTGTTTGTGTGTTCTTTGTCAGCTTCAGTGTTCACATGGGTTTGGTTCTTTGGTTCTCTCATCCCCACTGGACTGTTTTCATTTTATTTAAGGACTACTCCACTGTAGAATTCACGCCATGTGCTCGAGACGTACAGGTCTTACAATTCACGGTGCTGCATACCAGTCTTTTTTTTTTTTTTTTTTTCAATAAATTTGAAATCCTCTTTTTTTTTTTTTTTTTTTTTTTTCAATAAATTTTCAATCCTCTTTTTTTTTTCTTTTTTTTTTTGTCACACAATTTGCATTCATCATGATATTAGATCAGCTGAAATGTGTTGTTTTTATTAAAAATTCTGTCATACAATAGTGATTTAATATAGAAACTGAGGAATCTAGCTTTAAGCTAAGACATACGCTTTTACCTTTTTTACCTTTCAGATACACGCGTTATTCTCTGACCGATCTTTGCATTCCACGTGACACAGGGAAATGGACAGGTGTCTAAAAGGAGCATTTAGGTGGTTTTTATAAAAATCCAGGTGAAACAAAGCTGCTATGTTCTCTTGTGAGAGCTGCCTCCCTTTTTCACCGTCTGCTATTTTTATTTTTTCCTTTTGAAATATTCCCAAACTGACTTAAAGAGGCTCTCCTCCTGACCTCAGGCTGTTCGGACAACAGTAGGACTCAGACCCGCCCCCCCGCCCGCCCCCCAGGACCAGACGTGTGTGGGGGGGTGGGGGGGGGGCTGCATTTGTGCAGAAGACTTCAAGAACCAAGGGGACCAGTAGTTTTCCAGCCTGAGGAGGAGCTTCAGCCCCCCCCCCCCCCCCCCCCCTCCACCCCCCCCCCCCCACCAACATGCCGGAGATACTCATAATAAATGAATGTTTGACAGTTAAAAAAATCAAATAAAAATTGTGATCCAAAATTAACCAGCACCTTAAACGGATACATACAACCTAAAAGACACAATAGGACTATATGTATGATTATGTGTACTTATATAAAAAAAAAAGAATGTCATAGACTTGTATGGAAAAAAATAAAGTACACTGAATTTATCACATGATATTTGTGTATAGGGTCTGAGTGACCAGCTTTTGTCAGATGGTTTAAAAATCATTGAGTGTGTTCCTGGGTTCCTTAAAAAAAAACAAAAAAATTCGACACATTCTTCATGTTGTTTTTGAAAGGATTATTTAGTGCCCTCTCCCGTCATAGTAGTAACTATTTCAATTGTTCTCAAAGAGATTTAAGAAGCAAGAGATGTAACGGATTTTGATAATAAAATAATCATGATAATGTATTTTGAAAATTGGTGTTTTTCTGGATTTTCTTCACATTCATCTCTGGATTTCAAGAGGAGAAAATACTGTGTGCGGGGTCTGCATTGTTTTGTGTTTGTTCATGTCATTAATCCTTTAACGGGGATTATCTAATGTCCTCCTGGTTACATTAGCCTTTCTCATGCTTTGGGATTTATAAAAAAAATCTTTGTAAAATGGTAGAACGTTTTATTTTAGGCTTAATATCTTATTTGGTAGTGGATGAAAGTGAAAACAAATAAGAATGCAACATGGAAAAAAGGTTGTAGAACGATTTTCCCGCTTTCAACTAAAACTGAATGCTAGTAGCTGCAAGTATTGGCTCGTTTCTACACACATTTAAGAAAAACTGTTAGAGAAAACAACTTTTCTTTTTATATATCCAAAGAAGCTACCTCGTACTGTGAAAACTTCTTTACATTTTGCATTGTCCCATCTAGTTTTCATATTTCAACCTAACCGGGAGCTTTTCCAAATGATCAACAAATACATTTAAAGTGAATCATTCATTATTCCTCCCTAAAGGAAATGTCACAACTGCGGTATTGATTATTGTGAAAGATGCTTTTGCTATGGCTAGGCAGTACAATAAAAGCCACAAATCCTGGGGCAGAAGTCTTGGTGGGGTTTTTCAGGAGGACTGGGATGACTTCAGGTACTTTTCCTCTTCCTGCTTTTGTCCTATGGATGCCATAACATTTCTAAACTTGTACAGTCATAATCCTTTCCAGGATCAGGATCAGCTTTATGTGGAAACGGGCCCTCTCACCAAAATAAGGCAGAAAATTCAGCAGAAAGTGTGTTTTCAGGTCCGGAGAAGCCTGAAAACAAGCTGATCTACAAAGCATCACAAGCAGATTTGTTTTTCCAAAAATATACTGATGGAATTCTGCATTTCTGATGATCTCGGTGTACCCTCTCCTCCTCAAAATCCAAGTTGGAAATGGTTGAAATGGACAGTGTCTGTCCAGTATGAAGTGGCACACTGAAATGAGAAACTGCGATGATGAAAAACACCACGTAGCCTCTCTCCATATATTTGATAAAAGTTTAAACTGTATTGGGGAATCATCAGTTATGCGTTTGAAGCCTACAACAGAGATGCCTCCACTATTTGACATGTGTTTGGGCAAGACTGTTCGTTTGTGGAACGAGAAAAGAGCATAACCTGTGTACAAAAGTCTTACTTCTGTTTGTTGTTTTCATCTGGGTGGAGTTTTTTATTTCTTGGCTGAAGATCAAATTGATCAAACCTTCTTTGTTTTGCTGTGAGCTGTTTTGTGGGTTGGCGTCTCCCCTGTCATCATTAAAATAGCCACTAGATGTCAGTTCTAACTCTAACTTTAAGCTCAGCGGCACAAATACATGTTTAGAACTCTGATAACCTGCTAACAGGAACACGTGCGTCCTCCTGAACGGCTCACTGGCTAAACGCTGATGCTTCTGCTCCACATCAACAAGATTTCTGGGTTTATCTTTGTTTGGGACTGTAGCTGAAGTTTGTGTCATGTTCCAAACACACAGACGTAGTTTTTCTCGTGGTGTTCTGGGTTCTGCCTCTTATATTGTTATAGATTGACCCTATGAGTGAATATTAGCACGTATGACTATTTGTCCACTTTGATGCTGTGTTGACCCTGTAGTGGAACGATGACCTGCCCAAAATATGCTAATGAGACCACATTCATCGGCCGGTCAGTGTAATGGGCCCAGGCGGTCACATTCAGAAGCGTTTGGGCAGTGGAGGGCAGGACATGAGGTGTAGTGGGGATTTCTTATGGGGGAATTGCTTGCTGGTGTGTGTAGTTTTTAAAAAAAATCTTGATTGCTTTTTTTTTTTTCCTTTGCCACTTTTCAGCTTTTAATGCTAGTACACTTTCAATATAGATCCTACAATGCTTTATCAAAGACTCAAAAATAGCCTGGTAGGCAAGGAAATTAGAAAGTAAGGTATCAGCTCGTTAAAATAGCTTCTTTAAAAAAATAAATAAAAAAACATGTCAGTTTTATAAATGGGTAGAATTCCAGGTTTCTCTGTGCTGATGGAGGGACACTCTCAATCCAAACTCAAACTCGGGAATGTCGAACAATCCTCACACTCCTGAAAGCTCACCTCCACATTCTCTGGCTTTGCTCAGCGAAGCTGTCGCTTAGAGAGAAGCTGAACGCGTCTTCTGTCCTCCATCAGAGAGGTTCACCTACATCTGAGCAGAGACAGATGTTCGGTGGCACTCATTCAAACTTAAGGAGCTCAAACTGGAGAATAGCAACCAAAAGAAAAACCATAGAGTTCTGGACTTTAGTCATCTGGTTTTGTTGGGTTTTTTTTGTTCTGTTTTGTTGTGTTATAGATTCCTGTGTTTTTCTCCCAGTAGCTTCCCATGTTTCCAGCTTCACCTCGGCCTATTGACCTAATGTCTGCCTCTGGTTCCGTTTCCTGTGTCTTCCACCCACTGTGTTTTTCCTCCTCTTTCCGGGGTTCGTCTTTTCTAGTTTGAGTGCTTTGCGCACACACAAAAACATTCCTGACCCGCACAACTCCTCGGACTCGCGCACGGAGCGGAATTATGTCGTAACTAAAATGGACTTCGAGCAGAGAGTTAATCAATTGTTCAGTTAATCAAACTTGCGCTGTGAGAGCCAGATTCCAGGAATCCCGGAGCGGCCACCTCTCTAACCCCGAACCCCCATCCAAAGATACTTCCAGAGATTTCTTCTTATGGAGGGATCACTGGAAAAGGCTCTCACAGACTGGTGTCACAAATAAAGTGAGGGAACACACCCCGTTCCAGGCATTTGCAGTGGTTACATTTGGAAAACTGGGCACAATGAGGCCTCCCCAGGTCTTATTTACACAGCCATCAGGGCTGTGGGCATTTATGGAGAATTCCCAGGTCTAAATAACACTGCTGTTTTGAATGCGTCTGATAAAGTGGATGCTTAAAGTGTGGCATGGATTGAAACTAAGTGTAATAACTGCAGTGTGGTTTCAGTTCCCCCGCCTCGCCATCTGCGCCGCCAGTTTCTCCACACGCATGGCTCAAGAGTGTGCCGCACTTTTTCCCGTCTGGTTTTTCTTTACAAACCACAAACCATGCGTGGAATGTGGCGGACGCAGACTCCGGGCCCGTCTTTTTGTCCAAACGGGAGCCCCGGGCTGCGTAACGGCCACTTCCGGGTCTGTCAGGTTGAGCGAACCCCAAAAGGGGAGATGGCTGTCACGTGACCGCGCTGACTTCCTGTTTACTGTCTGTCCCTTCAGACCGTATTACACCGATTGCAACACCGGACCGTTCTGTCGGAGCTGTCGGGTCTGTCGATTTCCGCTCATTCCCGGGACTACGGAGAGGGAATTCCGTCTGATTCTGATCTGTCCGCCACGGCGGCCTGTTTTTCCGGGGGAAATGAAGACGTGACATTGAGCAAAACCGAGCAGGCCCGGACGCATCCTGGACGTTTCCTTACTCCATGTGACCGGATTTCAATGTGCCAGCGCGGGGGGGATTTTTGAGCACTTCGCGAGGACCCCGAAGTGCGCGTGAGACTGTGAGGGGGGTAACGGGGTGGGTGAGGCGACGAGGACACGCCTGGGAGGTCCGGCTAGCTTGGCGGCTCGTGGCGGTAGGTCCGGGCGGCTCGTGGCGGTAGGTCCGGGGGCTCGCGGCGGTCTTTGGGGGACTCGCTGGTTCGCGCGAGCCCGTCGGCCAGCGACGTGCGTTCGCGGGGTGGACGCAGACAGCCGGTGCCCTGAATTCAAGAGGGCTCCCCGGCTCTGCCCCCTTCAAGCGGGCGGTCAGGAAGAAGCTGGCCGGGAAGGGATGGCCTGCTCAGTCCTCTCGCTCCACGGGACGAAGCGCGGCGGTGTTTGAAGGCGGTCGGGTCCGGCTGGAGAGCACCGCGGCCGGCCGGGGCGCGATGATGGCCGCGTCGCCCTCCGTGGCCGCCGGCTTCGCGGCCGCCGGGCTGTCGGTGAAAAAGGGCGAGGAAATAACGAGTTTGATAGATTTGTTCTCCAAAACGCCGTACAGAGCTAAGGAAGTCACCCCTCGGGTAAGTGGGGGGGGGTGTGTCGGCCCTCCTGTGAATGATATGTTGATATGTTTGAGTAAATGTTGTCCGTGAACACACCACGTCCTGCTGGAGGAATAGAACAGTGACTTAGTTTAGAGGCCATAAAGAATCTAATTTAATGTCTGTACAGACTATTCCATCTGCCTTAAACTAGGGATTGTTTCTTTATTGCTGTCAGTTTCATTGGATTTTGTGGATTTTAAATTCTCAATAAGCCTTATGCTGTACCAGGTGTAACTGAAATATAGAATTAAAAAAAGATGGACGCATGGTGTCACCTTTTAAAACTGTTTTTATTAGGTAATTGCTATTAAACTGCTATATTGGCATTAATAGATTTTTTTAAATTGCCATATTGCTTCAAAACTTCCCATTTCAAATGTAATTTTAAAAAGATGGATTCAAGTATCTCTGAACTGTCAACTGATTATGGTCCTTATTATAACCATGTAATTTGATATTTCTGGACTTTGCAGCCATACACTTTCTTACAAAGAATATTTAACTGTTTAGTAACATGAGCAAAACAATTTCCTTTGACTTTATATTCCATATCGCTTAAAAACACTGATAATTTATTTGTTTGGATATTTCCTTTTTCTCAGTTTAAAGGAGAATAGACTGTTATGGTGGTGTCGGTAACATCGTGTTTGCTGGTGGTTTCCCTCAGATGGAGGCGGTGGAGAAGCGCTGCCTCGAGCTGTTCTCCAGGGATTACAAGTATAGCGTCATCCATAACTCCAATGGAGAAGTGTGTGGCCACTACCCCCGGCAGATAGTTTTTCTGGAGTACGAGTGCACGGACGTGGACCGAGACAGGTGCTTGTCAACTACCTGCTCAGCTCCCACATGTTCCAACAGGCAACCTGCCGGGTTACAAATGACCCTGTTGTTTATTTGTGCCTCTCACCTAACCTTTCACTCATTTCTGTGGAGTGGGGAGTAAAGGTCACCCCGTGACTCCACCGAGTTTTGGCACATAGACGCCAAAGGTGAAGAGTCTCCACAGTCCTACGCGCTTCATTTCCAGCTGAAACAGTCAAAATGCAGCGGTTTAGTAAATCGTTCTTTTTATCTGCATGGATAATGGCAGCCAAGGTGCAAAGTGTTTCTCAAAAACTGCTTAAACTGTATGGAACCGTAAGGCTTCTCGAGGCTGCTTGGAAAAAGAACTGCCCTCCATCCAAATACTCACATTTCATATTCTACTTTTTAAAACCAGTACATCCACAAACAATGAACCGTTTTAACTTAAAAATAGAAAGCTATGTGCAAATGATCTGTTTAGGTAACTAGCGTTTATGTGGACGTGTAGAATATGAAATAGTGCATCAGTGGAATAGTAATAGTGATAGGCGGCCACACCCTGGACAGGTTGCCAGTCCGTTATAAAGCCACACAGACACAAATAGGACTAACAACCGTGCACACTGGCTGGACTGGAACCGATGCAGACGTTCTCTGTGTAGGTTTGAGGCCACGGTGCACATCAGCAAGCTGCAGGACCTGGTGAACAGGAGTAAGATGGCGCGCTGCAGGGGGAGGTTCGTCTGTCCCGTCATCCTCTACAACGGCAAGGTATCTTTAAAGCTATATTATCAAATTCAAGGGATGGAAGATTTCTTAAAACAATTAGCAATTCAAATCAAATTAAGTTTCATATATATATACGCACACACAGTGCAGTTTAAGGCTGCTTCCCGTAAACATTATGACTCAGGGTAGGATTAATGACCAGTAACATGAACCTCATGTCATATGTCAGCTCTTTTAACCTCTGACCTTCCCCAATTCATTTATGCGAACACGACTTGTGTAGCTTTTAATATGTTGACTTTATGGATGGATGTTGCTCTGTCGGCCTGATTTTTTTTAGTCATTTCGCTCTTGTCACTGTTAGTGATTAGTCACTATTCAATTGATCGAGTTGTTTGTTTTTCGCTTTTTTTTACTTGTAAGCTCCCAAAAAAGGATGCTCTCGCTGTTTCTTGTTGAACTTGATTTTTAACATTTCTGTCTTGAGTTCGGTGAATTACATATTCTCATCGACGTAGTGGTTTAAATGGATTTCAAACGTCTACGATCTTGTATCGTAGAGTTTGTAATACTTTTTTTTTTAATTCATGATGAGACAAAGAAACCAAAAAGTTCTGGACTCGTTAGCAACTTATCTCCAGGTGCAGATGTGCCGGGGATTCATTCTAAATAGAGCCAGCGCTCCATCCTTCTTCCTTCACTCTGTCCTACACTGTCTGAAGTGTGTTTTCTCCTCCTCGTTGCAGCATATTTGCCGCTCCTCCACCCTGGCAGGCTGGGGGGAGCTGTATGGACGCACAGGCTACAACTACATATTCTCAGGTACCAAACCCGCATCAAATGGTTGGCATTTAAATTTAGCATCAATGGGGAAGTTGAGCGTGGCAGCGTTTCCTGGGTGGTGTCGGTTAACATATTTTGAGATGTTTATAAATGCTCTGCCTCTATATGAATCTGCACAGATTTGTTTTATGTATCACAGCTGTGTTCTGTTTGTAAACATAAAAGATTAGTAACCTTAAATGGCAACTTTTTAGAGTTAGACTTTTTTTTTTTTTTTTACATGGAATTTTTTCAGAACCCCCGAATTTTTTTTTTTTTTTTTATTAAAGGTGGCACTGATGACACGTGGACAGAGTCAGAAGAAGTACCAGAGGATGATTGTGCAGTCAGGTAATCGCATCTGTTTTTACCAAAATAATGAACCACAGACACTGATCCGCCTCCGAGTTCAGCCTGGATCTGGCAGGGGATCATTTCTTATTCTTTTTTTTGTAATTGGTTTATAAATGCACAACTTTCACATGATACAACAGCTTCCCAGAAACAAAACAAAAAGTTCAAGCAATATTTTATTGATTTAAGTGCTAGTAATCCAAAGTAACTCACTTAAATGCAATGTCAAGAATAATCCTTCAGAGAGGCTAAGCGTTATTATGTCATATTTAATGTGTTTTTTTAAGGTGAATCTAAAGCTCAGGACTTTCTTCCTCTGTTCAGGAATGGAGACTCGCAGCTCTTTGATAAGGTTCGCGGCCATGACATTAAGCTGCTGCGTTATCTCTCGGTGCGCTACATCTGTGACCTGATGGTGGAGAACAAGAAGGTTAAGTTCGGACTAAAGTAAGGAACAGCCCAGTTTCCTCCTCTCCTCATGTGTTTTTCTGCTCTGGAACACAGCGTCTGACTAACGTCAGCCCATGTGGTCGACTTCTTAATTTCCTCTGGAACATTAGATTAGTCTAAGGAGCCTGTAATTAGTGGACTGTCATTTACTTTATTCGTAACTGTATTTAAGCTAATGACTGAACATTGTTAGTGACAGCTGTTAGCTAAGGGGTGCAGACTTGGCTCTGTGCCATTGTATTTTTTTCTAAGGAAAATGATGAAAATTGAAATCCGCAGAATTTGAAATTAGCATAAAAACTTTAATTGATTTACCGGTATTATTATTTTTACCTAAACACATTCAGGCTTAATAAGCGGAACATAGCATACTTGTATGCATGGATTCTGTAGACATGTGCTAAGCTATAGACTACTTTACTTGTGCTTTTGGGCCTGGGCCGGTTAGCAATAATTTCCTAAATTCTGTTTTATTTTTGTTCGTTTTCTTTCTTGTGACTGACTGGAGGCTCACTTCCTCATTCCAGATTACTGCTCTGCTCTTTAGTCAACAGCTAGTGGGAGGAGAGGCCCAGTGTTAAGGCCGTATCACAAACCATTACCAGTAAACAGTTACAGACCACCCCAACTATCCATTACACGTCTTATTGAGGGCTGTTTTAAGCCTGATCTGAGGGTTATTACAGGGTGTCTGCCTTGTTAAGCCAAACTGGCAGCTTGCCAATTTTGTGTGTTTAATCAGTAATTTTGTTGAAGTGCAGGATTCTTTTTTTTTTGCCTGTTTATACTTTACGTGATGATGTTGACAGGTTTTGTGCTGCATTGCTAAGTTATGGATCTGACCAGCCAAACCTCTTTGTGTTTGTCTCCTCCCCAGCGTGACATCCTCTGAAAAGGTGGACAAAGCCCAACGCTATGCAGATTTCACATTGCTCTCCGTGCCTTATCCAGGTAAACAAAAAAAACTCACGGAGCTGAGGACCTTTTCAGCCCACTAGAGATCAGATTGACCTGTCACAGCTGGACATCTGCGGGTTTATTTCTGTTTTCCTCTGAACATTTGTACTAGTGCTATTTGAGGATTCAGGTGATCTTTTGAGGAACTGAAGGTTTTCGGGTAACTTTTTACCTCATGGAAAGCAAGTAAAAGGCACGATATAATGGGGTTATATGGTACATAGCTTATCATTTACATAGAGTTTTTAAGTATTGACCGTTTTTAAAATATCTTTTGATAATATCGTAACTGTATTGAAAGAATACTGAGCTGTGAATTATTATATACTGTATTGCTTTGAGAGAGCAACCGTAGTATAAATGCCAGTTTACATGGAAAGAGCCTTGTTTTTAAATTTCTTTAAAAAAAAAAATTGTTTAAGCCAAGCTGTTTTTCCCACTAAAGGGTAGACTCCTGTAAATTTCAAACCAAGTCCTTATGCGCTTGTGTTGGTGCGTTTCATAGCTGAACCTCACATGAATATGTCAAACCATTGCAGCCAAGTTTAACTCTACAGCTGAAAATGGTTTCATGACCGAGTTTGTTTCCCCTTTTTTCTTTCAGGGTGTGAGTTTTTTAAGGATTACAAAGACAGAGACTACACAGCCGAGGGTCTGGTGTTCAACTGGAATCAGGTACCACATCACACCCCAGAAGGATGTAAATGTTTGATATTTTCCACTCTGATCTCTGTGTTTGGTCACTGACAGGACTATGTGGATGCTCCTCTGACAATCCCTGTGTGCTTTACTCAAAACTTGAACATTGACTGGAGTCAGTACCAGGTTAGCTCCCCTCTTGTCTTTCGTCCTCTCCTCTCGTCTTAATTTGTCTTTCTCATTCCCTGTTGGATCTGTTTCCACCTACTTTCCCTTGGCCTTCTCGTTTTTATCTGTCATCTTTCTTTTCCTTATTTCTGTCTTTTCTTTTTGACTGTGGTTTTCCACTCTGCTGTTCTTTTCTCCCCGTTTGGCTCCTGATGCTGAAAACATGCATCTCAGTTTATCCTGTAATGTTTCTGGTATTTCAGTGCCCTCTGGTGTCCAGACTGTAAATTCTGATAAATATTAGGTTGTTATTAGGTAGTGGTACTGGTAAAGCTCTGAGCTGACATGGCTCATTTGAATCATCCCCTCAAAAAAAATGTGAATTTGAACAAATGAGAGCGGCATTGTTGGAACTGTTTGTGATAATTTGGTTGTATTAATTTTTTTTTTTTAAAGCCAGAGTTCTCAAAAAATTACGTGAACATTACACTTTTTGTTATATTCCAGCCACAGACTTAGATGTATTTTCGATCAATTTGTAGGATAGACCAAAACAATAGTACCACATATTATTACAGTGTTATTACAAATTGCAAGATGGACAATTTTACAGAAATGAGGCAAAATTAAAGGGAAATGATTACTCATTAGTCATCAGACTCGGTACAAAACTCATCAGGCTGTTTTTGTGATTTAGAGTACACCACATGTATTTTGCAAGTCTGGTGTTGGCTGTACAGACATTAATATATTTGATTCTACTGTCATGAGTCTTGTTTTTCCTCATGTTAAAGCAACAAATTGACTATTGTGCAAATGTTTTGTGTGTGTGTGAATGAATTCAGTCATGGGACCTGGTGGAACAGACCCAGAACTACCTGAAGCTGCTTCTCCATATCATCAATAGTGATGGTAGGTGCAATTAGTTGTAACATTTCCCAAAATGTTTGTTTTACTTTGTAGCATTTTTCCCACATAGATTACATTGGACTGTGCTGCTCAGAGGCATTCATTTCCCCAATTAAATTTGGTTTTCCAAATGTATTTTGGGGAAAGTCTTATTGTATTTATAAATGTGCAATTGTAGGGTTCTTATAGAGACACTTATCTCTCTTTCTATTTCTCCAGCCGCTTTTGCCATAGTTGCATTCCATCAACAGCTTCAGGGAAACATTTTCAGAGAAAAGCTAGTTGCTCAGTTTCTTAGCTGGTCATCTTAGGGTGAACAGTACGTATGAGTGTCCCAGAGGTCTGACTGGACCTCCGAGACAAATGCAAATGCATAAAATGTTATATATACTGTTATGTTTATTGAGCTATAAATAAGAAAAACTAAATCTATCATAAATGAGAGAAGAAAGTGACCAGTGAATTTTCCAATTTAGAGCTCCCTAACAAACATCCTATATATCATGCAGTAAAAAGCTGAAATTCATAGTATGGTGCAACTTATAAGGAAAAAAAAAACATATTTTTACAAGCTATGAACAATCAATAATAATAATAAACATCAATAGGTGGTGGTAGCATGCTACACAGTGCTGGTTAATGCTCAGTTCTTCTTTTTCACCGTTTAGTAACTTAGGAAAGAGGAAAAAAAACTAATTTAATTCATGGACACACTTTCAGGCAAAGTTCTTTGCTGCAAACACTTGGATCAGGTTTTATTTGTCAGAACATCAGAGCAGCAGCCAGCAGCTGAACCTCCATTTTCTTCATTCCCTGTACCCAACGTTACGGTGCTCGTGTGTGTTTCCAGATGAGAGCGGGCTCCTGGTGCACTGCATATCAGGGTGGGACCGAACGCCTTTGTTTGTTTCCCTCCTCCGGCTCTCCCTATGGGCAGTAAGTTTTTGATTAGTTTAATTTATTCTTCTGCTGTCATCGTATCCCCTGGTCGCTCATTTGATCTTTAAAACATCCATTACTGGCTCCTTTAAAGCCTTTTTCCGAGTTCCTCTCATTCATAGAAAATTATTTTGTTATTCCAGCTTTGCTGTTATGAAACTTTTGCTCCATTTAGACTTTTTTTTGCAACTACTGCATTATTTTTCTCATGGCATCATCCACTTTTAAAGTTATGAAACAAGGACTCTATATGCTTTATTTGTTGTTTTATTTCTATGTTACTCAAAATGAACAAATTAATTCATTCATATTCATTCATTTTTATACACTCATATTTTTAAATTATTCTTTTTTCTAATTATGCAAGTATCTTCCTCATCGCTCCTATGGATTGTTTTTTTTGGGGGTAACTTATCAAATACATGTCAGATTATCCTTCAGGTATAGTTTTTACATCATAACAGATTTTATTAAGTCTCAGAATTACAACAGATGTACAGCATCCAATCAAGCAGGAAAAAAAGTATTCAGGAAAATCTGTGTGGTCTTAGAATAAATCTCATTTGTATTTACAAGAAGGAGAAACTTTCAATGGTGCACCAGATTTACAGATTTTTACTCCTTTTCTCTGTGAGTGCAGGAATTTGTTTTTTAAATGTTTCTGCTTAGATTAGCACCAGAATAAGTTTAGAGGGAGGATGTCTGAAACTACACATGAAGTATGGTTGTATTCTGAATAGTTTGGCTTAATGCACCCGTTATTACGTCCAGAGGGTTAGAATGTTTTCTCTGGGAAACATCCCATATTATGATGGCAGGAGCCTTTATGGCCATAGCAAAGTGTTGGTTTAAGACATTTCATAATCACCAAACAAAGCACTGATGAACACGTGACAGATGTATGACACCAGACTCTCCTTCACAGGATGGTGCCGTGCACGCCAGCCTGGAACCCGCTGAGATCCTGTATCTGACCATTGCTTATGATTGGTTTCTCTTTGGGTAAGAATCCCATCATCTACATCATTTTCCTGATTTCACAACATCTTAATAGCAGGCTATAATAGATTGGAATTTATATTATTTCTCAATGAATTTATTCATTAAGTTATGAATCCGTTATTAACTAACTGTGTGGTTGATGACGTATGAAGACATTTTTTAAAAACTTGATTCATAAAGTGGAAAGACGGAGAAGCCTGTTCCAGCTTTGGAACTGTTTCTGTTCCTTTGCTTTTGTCTCCTTCGTACCGTCCAACATAAGAAAGAGCTTTGATTCTGACTTTCATTCCTTATTTATATGAATATCTCATATTCTCTGAGAAGTCACAAACTCATCAACCACGACATTAAGCCGCTAAAACTAGTTTCTCCTTTCAGGAAGTAAATTAATGTAACTTGACATCTTAAATGGAGAAGTAATAATGTTTTATCTATTTATTTCTTTAATAAATGGTATATTTGAAATATAATTATATCCTTATTACTCATATTTTGGTCTTTGAAATATAATTTGGGGTAAATACGCTACATAATCATTACAGAAACAAAGTATTGGCAAATGGATAATTGGCATGTCAAAAATTGATTTCTTTTTTTGTTTTCTAGTCACATGCTGCCTGATCGACTCTCCAAGGGGGAAGAGGTATGTCCTCTTTCAACTTGTATTCTATTTCAATGCATGATGTAGATGCTTTAGAGAGAGATCCATCTGTTGGGTTAATCATTCTAAACTTTAAGGGTTTGTTTTAGTAGAGTGCGCTCTCAAAAAGACGGATCGAGTTGGTTTGCAGTTTAGATCCTTTTCAGGGGATTTAACCTTTAGAAAATGGGAATTCTATATTTTAACAGCATTGAAGTCATACCGGTGTTGGACTGTATGTTTTCACACCTGCACTGCTTCCATCTGATACCAAATCCTTTTCTCTCTCCCTCAGATTTTCTTTTTTTGCTTTAATTTTTTGAAGCACATTGTTTCAGAGAAGTTCTCTGCTGTTAAGAAACAGAGGTGCGTTATTCATTCCCCAAATTATGCTTGGTTGCATTTATCTGACCGTCTTTCAACTCCGGCTGGAAATGTCTTGATCATGCTGTCTCACTTTCCACGGCTTCCTTTTTGTGTCTTTTGATACGCGATGGTGTTTAATTATCTTTGACTTTTCATTTTCAGAAGGAAAAGCTCGCACTGCAGAGATGGGGATTTAACTGTGGATGACTTCTGCCAGTTGAGTAAGTCGGCACATCTCTTTTGTACTCCAACAAACATTCATTTAATTTCAAAAGTTTATTTCAAACCTGCACACATTTTACAATACATATAATGATAAACAATACATATGCATGGCTTGAAAATCGTGTTGCATAAACAAATTTATTTAGTGTTTTATTTCCAGAAAATATGACATATTTGAAATAACATAGGTTTACTATAGAAACTTTTGGTATAGCATTAGGTAGCATGTGCTCTTGCATCCGAACTGATCAATAACTGATGCAGACAGAGTTCAGAGTAGGAGTGACCACAGCAATTCGATTTTTTTGTGGACAACATCACATTTTCACTCTCTTAGAATCCAGAAACTGTTGCTTTGATCGCATTGCAGGTTTCTAAACAAACCCAATAAGTTCATAGTGTTTTTAGCGTCTAACTTTGCCACCAGCGGGGATTGTTTGGTGAAAAACAAAAAACAAAAAAAAGGCTGTGTCCGGTGTTTCAGAGTCCAGAGATCGGGGCAGTGCGACCAGCCTGAGCAGCGAGTTTTCCCTCATCACTGAGGACGTGAGCGGGGCCTCCTGCCCCCCCACCGACACACCAGACCTATTCTCCAGCCAGCCCCAGGCCTCCAGCTGGTCAGTGCACACACACGCACTCGCACAGTCCGAGAACTCATAACTCATTAATTGTGAAAACTAATGATAAGAAATCATTTTAATAAGGAGCAGACCTGGGGGGATTTAGTTTTATACTGTTAAATTCATTTTTGATAGATACAGATACATGTCTACATTATCGATTTTAAAAACTTCAGTGTCTGTTCTCTGTCAGAAGCTGTTTATTTAACACAATTACCTACTTATTCCGCTTTTGGACTCTTGCTAATGTTCTCCGCTCTCCTCAGGAAAAAAGTCAGCACGTCTTCCCCTCAGATGGTGGTGTGGTGTAAGCAGAACCCGGGGGACGAGCCGCTCTTCCACCCCTTCGCCGAGGCCAGGTCTTCCAGCTCCTCCTCCTCCAACCAATCAGAACAAGGTGGCACACGAACTGGCAGCAGCCCATTGGCTGTTCCAAATCGACGGTAAGTGACGTGCTATAACTCATCAAATCAACTTTTTTTTTTTTTTGCGCAAAGTCAAAATGGGCAGTCTGTGGCGGGGGAAAGAGACTTTTTGGACTCTTTTTTTCTTCCCCCCCCCCCCCCCCCCCCCCGTAGCAGATGATAGTTACTGGGCTGCAGTCAGCACCAGTAAAGCTCCTAATTTGGGTCTCGACGGACAGCCAATCAGATCCTGTGGTCTAAAGATGTGGATGAGGAGTGTAACGGGCTCTTTAGCCTTTTTCCCTGTTCCCTACTTTACGGTTGTGTCTGTGTTCTCTGTGTACGCCAGGTTAGCGGCAGAGTACGCCCGCTCAGGGTCCTCCCTCTCCACAGAGTACGGCAGCTGGCAGATAGTCTCCGGGTGTGGAAGTATCCACGACCCGGCCCACTTCCCTCAGCCTCTGGCTTCCCTTTCCTCCAACGTGTCTGCCGTGGCCTCCTATGACTCCCCTCTGCCCTTCAGTTTTCAGGATGAAGGGCCCAGTGGACGAATGTAAGGAAATATTTAAAAAAACTCCATTTATAATGTTCATAAGTGAAGCCGACTCACCTTTATCTCGGATGTTTGTCTGGATTTCAGACTTAATTTAGATTCATGAAATGCAACGAATAGTTGGGCTCACTGAATTTATCAGTTCATTTTTCAATGAATTCATAAAAAATGCAATCATTTCTATAGTTTGTTGTTTCCTCTCTCCTCCCCCAGGTGTCCCTTCCCCTCTGAGCGTCAGGCCCGTCTGGAGGCGGTGCGGGAACTCTTCCTGGCAGCTTACAGCTCCACCGTGGGCCTCAAGTCCTCGGCGCCCAGCCCGTCGGGCGCCATCACGGGGCTCCTGGAGCAGTTTGCCCGGGGGGTGGGCCTCCGGGGCACCAACGCCATCGTCTGAAGCCTCCAGCCTCCACCCATCCACCGCCCCCCCAGCACGTCCGCGGCCAGATGCATAAACCTAGTCTCATGTCTAAAATTGTATGTACAGACAAATGGGTATTCATTTTCTTCAGATTTACAGGAGAATGTGTTTGTGAAATGTTTCTTATTCTCGATCTTCATAAAGTTGTACACATGCACGAGCCACGATTTCCATCCAAAGTTTTTTTTGTCCGCGAAAGGTTGCAGGCCTTTCGTTAACTCTCATTTTTTGCACGCCAAAAAAACGCCTGCATTTTGTAGAAATTGTTGTGTGGTGGACACGGTCCCGATGAACAAATTGTAAAATGAGCCGCTTATCATGGAATCAGAAAATGTATCGAAAAGCTCAGCTCTAACATTCTGAACTAAAGAAAAAGTACAGAGCATATCAAAGTAGCTGAAGCAATCAAGAGATAAACAGTGGGATTACACGAGAAATGAAAAAGGGCTTCAATTTCTGCTAAGGAGGGTGTCAGGTCTACACCAGAGACACTTCACACAGCCTGGGAGGGAAATTGTTACCAACTCTAACCCTTTAGTCTTAACATACATCAGGTTTTTGTGCTGGAAAATGTATTCACTTCAATTCTGTTGGCTCACAGCATTTATGCACCTGGCCCCTTGACTCAGCACAACGAAGTGCCAAAAATCTTCTTTTTTTTTTTCTACTGATCATGATCAGTTCTGTTTGATCATTTGTTTTTTATTTTACTTGACTTGAATTTTTCTCTGTTTTTAAATGCCACTTTTTTTTCTTAGGAGTTTTAACTTTTTCAATTCAGGGAAAAAATAATGATCTAAGCCACAGTAACAAAAAGGGATAGTGAGAAATGTAAATGACTTCGAACTTGGAGTTTTAAGGCAGAACGGAAAGATTTGCTTTCATTTCCTGATCTTCTTTACTTTTTTCTTAAGTATTTAAGAGCTTTTGCTGTGTCCGTCCCAATGCCATTAAATCATGTGCTTTTAGTTCTCTTGTTTATGCCTCTATTATTCACAGAGCCAGTGCAAAGTGTTTGTTTTTTTTCAGGTGGTGAAAGCAGAACCCAAATTGTTCGGAAACAGATGACTTCAGTCATTTTTCCCCCTACTTCTTACTCGCCATACAATAGATCAAACATAGAACATCCATTCAGTTTTAGTCCAGCTTGGTGTATAAACCTAAATGGTTGAATGTCGATCTTAAATCACTTCTCAAACACGAGATCTTCCCTTCTGTCTACGCTGTGATGTCATCATCCAGCAACATTTGCAGTTTTTTGGGCAAAGCAAAGACGTTTCCTCAAGAATCTTAGCTTAGCTGACATGGTACCTTCTCCCTGGCAGTCGGGTCTGGTGCTGGTTGTGTGTCATTTTAATGCTTTAAGCATTTTTATACTTCTTTATATATATAGATACACTTCTGAATTTAATTTACACACCTAGTAATGTTCACAATCCCTTAAACATAACTTGCAAAAAGCTAAGCGTTGCTTTGTTTTGATTGGTCAGATATCCTCTTTTTTTTTGTTTTTTCTTTCTAATAAATCATTGGTTAGGCTCTGGGTTACGAAGTGCCTGAAAGAAATATAAAATGAAAGAATATAACCTGCTCTTAAACTGTTTTTTTTTTTTTAATTAACAGTTCTAACATGACCTGCTCAATTTCTGGTGCAACTGGTATTGGGAATTGACATAGGGTAAAACATCAGCTATGTTTATATGAACTACAAGGTGTGTGTAACTTCTTATTTTAGAATTCCACTCAATATGTCCTGCTTCAAGTGTTCCCTGCTTTAAAGTAAATTCTATAGACACTACCCACAAAAGGTTATCGGTATTTGGCAATTAATTTAATTTTACACTCAAATTGTGTTTCTCCAGGGTAGATTTGACAGTTTAAGTTAATATTCTTTCCCCTCTTTTTTTCAGACTAGCTTGTCTGTTACCGAGGTGGTTGTAGGTGGTTTTGATGGCTAATATTTCTCAGGACCTTTTGCTGTGCCTTTTTTTTTCATGAAACCAGCTAGAATCAATGCTGTTGTTTAATTGAAGTTTCAAGTGTAAAGTAATTGCATTTTTTTCAGGAAACCATTTTTTCTCAATATAATTCCCTTTCATGAACATTAGCATGGGGAAAATGTGATTGACTTATGGAGTAACTTATTGTGGGAACGAATTTGCGGAAAGTCTAATGAAATGATAAGAAATCCATTATTTCTCTGATAGATTAGGAACTCTTTGTTTTCAAAAGTCTTAAATCACAGCCCCTGTCTTCTTAACACATGTACAGAGATTCAGTGTTAACCCGGAAATATCATGTTACGTCAGCATTCACCCATTTTTAAAAAAGGAAAAAAAAGAAATCTCAAATGTGGCAGATAAATGTTTATCTTTTTTATTTTATTTTTCTAATTTGTTTATTTAAATCCCAAAATGCAATGGTTTCAGTGTATTTTGTGTCAAAAGTAGTCTTTCTTTTTGCAGTTGATTTTTTCTTTTCTGCTAAATTCAAATTTCATATCATCTTTGGCAGGTGAGCAGTTACATTGAAAGTGAACTCAGCTGCAAGTGACAAATGTCAATAAAAAATATAGAAAATACATCTTTGCTCCTTGTGAGTTTCCTTTCATCTGCAATACCATAAAGTGAATACTATCTTGAATTGAAAAAACAAAGAAAACCAGCCAGAGGTGAGTCCAGATTTGTGGGTTAGATATTTGTTATCTTCAGCTGTAAAATTCTAAAGGCTTTGTAGAAAATAATACATCCACACATAAAAAAAATCCAAATTAATTTGAATACCCACGTTTCACCCATAGGTTTGATATTGTAGTGTTACTTTGGGATGTGTGGTGGGTAATATAACCTTTTGTGAGCCCAGGTATTTACAGAAAAAAGAAAATAAAGATCCAAAAATAGCATGATGTGCATATGATGTTAACTATAATGCTTATGCTTCCTATATTTGTGTTGTTGTTATACTTACTATTTCTATGGGTAAAACGTGAAAAGAACGCGTACATTTATAAGAGAATGAAAAGAAAAACCTCTACCATTATTATTATGGAAAACAATATTGTATATCTGGATCGCAGATCAATGTTAAACAGACGTCTGTTCAACTGGAAATGTTTGGTTTGCAGAATGTGACGTTACGAAGATGATCTTAAAAAAAAAACTAAACTTTACATCTAATTATATAAAGACTGATCTATTAATTCCTGAATAGTTCTTTTCAAAATGTCTAGTAAGGCAGCTTTCGCTGGTGGTGAGAAATCCACCTTGAGTGATCTACATGGAAATCCACTCCATAGTTTCTTAACGAGTTCGGATAGCTGGTAGCAGAAAAACACCATGAGGTGGCTGCAGTTTTTGTTTTAAAATATAACTAATTCAACCGAGAAATTAAGATATATATCTATGAAAACTCAATTGCCTCGGTAGTGGGACAATTGCCTTTAATTAATAACATAATGAGCTAATGCATTTAATCTTACGTGCTTGCAAATCTGGATTTTGTAGAAGTTAGGTTATTAGAAAATTGTTTAATATTAATAAATGAATTTTTTTTTTAAAAGCAGTTTTTCAAGGTTTGTTTCACTTGGTTTTGGCAGATAAATGAGTCGGTGGCTGTTTGGGATTTCCATACGGACCCTGAACGCGGCGCGTGGCCTGCTGCAAACTGTGTTGTGGCTACACGGATCATCACTGGCTACAAGGGCGGGCCTTTACAGAGCCGCCGCTACAGGGATACCAAGATGGAAATCCAGGGGCTCTCTGATGCCCAAAACATTCACTCTCAACATGGCGCCCTACACGGCACCACCTCGTCTCCGCTTCGATCGTTGTCGGAGTCCTTAAGTCGTTTTATTTCTTCGGAGAGCGACGCTGAAAGACAACCGGACCCGTCGGAGTCTCAAAGTGACAACAACAACAACGCCAGGCCGAAGACATCAGCCTTTCGCCCGCCGGCGGAAAATGGCAGCGATGTCGCGCGCTCGCCTGTCAACAAACCCCAATCGACCAGCATTGCCAATATGCCCGAAGAAAGAGCTGTTTTGGGACTTCATAACGTAGACGCAGATAAAGACAATGACCTCAGCGCACTGTTAGGCTCGCAGGAGTTTGTCAGAGCTGCCTGGAAGTACGAAGAAAGCAGCGACTCTATAATGCAAATGGCGCTGCCTCTGTTTGAAGGGGAAGAGGAGCATTTGCAGCGCCAGCAAACGTTGCCTTTCCCCGTTTTACGACAGCCGCGTGAGGACGGCGCCTTCAAGCAGCCGTCCGAAGACGGCCACCGTCCCGGGGCACCGGGGAGCCTGAACCGAGCCGACAGACCCGCTCAGGAGCTCTACGTTGTGTTTAACGTCGTCCAAGAAAATGGAAGCGTCGAGGCGAGCCGACAGCGACCGGATGAGCCGCCTGACGACGGGGACCAGGTGAAGGGGAAGAAGGCGGAGTGCTCCCCGGCGGGCCACGGCGGCTCTATGGAGGTCGGAAACGGCCGGAGTGCTGCTTTCTGCGAGTCTAACCACAGCCTGCTGTCGCCCAAACCGGACAGTTCTTTCCCCCCGCCGGCAGACAGCTCCGCCGGGGCCAAGGCCAAGCGCGCGGCCGGTCGCCACACGGTCGAAGACGTTGTTTTGACTAACAAATATGGCGAGAAGATCTGCGGCCAGATCTGTACCGAAAACGACGACGCGAAGCTGGCCAGGGAGCTGTCCACGCAGGGCCGAGGGGACGGGGGGCTCATCCCGAAGACTGCAGACGTCGTGGAGGGCATGGAGACGTCGGACTTCCCTCCGGAGTCCAGGGGCCAGCAGGACGGTGCTGCAGCCTGCCCCGTCCCCCCGGCCAGTGAAACCTTTTCCGGGACCATTACAATAAACAACCAGAGCATCATAGTGACCATTGAGAACGGGATACTGACTCTGGCCGCTTCACCAGAGGGATACGTGCAGAAGGACAATGACATGGTCAGCTTGAAGGAGCATCTGGGCATGAAAGACCACGAGGATATTGTTCTTCTCAACTATGACAGCGGAACTAAATCCATTGGGAAGATCAGCACGCTGGCCGTGGCCAGCCCCAAACAGCAGGAGGAGTCCAGGCCCGGGTTGTCCGGCAGTGACCCGGAGCTGGCCCTGGTGGACGACTGCTCCCTGTCGGAGCTGGGCGCCTCGCTGGACCCGTGTGCCATGGTGAAGCGGGAGGCGGGCGCGCTGTGCGCCGTGTCCGAGGCCGACCTGGCCTCTCCGTCCCCCAGGCCGGCCGTAGCGGACGCCGCCAGCGAGGATCTGACCTCCGTGCCGCTCGCCAGGTCAAAGAAAGAGGCGCTGGCCACCTTTGCCTGCCCGGAGCCGGGCTGCTCCTGTGCGTTCGACTCCCGCCAGAAGCTCAAGGTTCACCTCCTGAACCACGCCGAGGACCCGCGGCCCTTCCAGTGCACGGTGGAGGGCTGCGGCTGGGCGTTCGCCACCTCCTACAAGCTGAAGCGCCACCTCCAGTCCCACGACAAGCAGCGGCCGCACACCTGCCACTTTGAAGGCTGCGGCCGCTGCTTCACCACCGTCTACAACCTGAAGGCCCACGTCAAAATCCACGAGCAGGACAATGCCTTCATCTGCGAGATCTGCAGCGAGAAGTTTCGCAGCGCTTCCAGACTCACCAGCCACCAGAGAGTCCACTTCGAGCCACAGAGGCCCCACAAGTGTGAATTTCCAGGTAACACACCTCATTTTCTTCAGCGGTAACTGTCATTTTCTTTTTGCACGCTAAAGCTCACCTGTTCAAGCTCCAGTCAGGTTAAAGAAAAACACTTCATGTTACCATCTATGACCCATTTGAGGGGATATGAAGCAATTGCTGTGTTGAAGGGAAGAATCCAGTGAACGTCTTTGTTCTAATGCTTTTTTACCAAATCGCTGTTCTGTCCCGCACAGGCTGTGAAAAGACCTTCATCACCTTCAGCGCCCTGTTCTCCCACAACCGGACTCACTTCAGAGAAACGGGCCACTTCACATGCACTTACCCGGGCTGTGACAAGACCTATGATAAGGCTTGTCGCCTCAAGATACACACGCGGAGTCACACCGGTAAGCCCATTCTAAGTTTGGTGGGTATCGACATAACTTTCAAACAAGTATTCAATTCAACCTGCAGGTGCAGGATCAGACCGCAGAGACTCTTTAAGACAGTCTGTTCCAACCTTCCAGAGGTTAGCATTCAGGCCCACATGCAGGGAGAGTCAGTTGTGGTTGTGTGTATTACACACACACATACCATTGTACACCTCGCATGCATGAAGCTGGTGGGGAAATATATTAGAGCCATGCTGCTCTTTTAACAACTAAAACTAAGCTTTTTATATTCATAGGGAATCTATTGAGCTGCTTACATTGACAGCCATGTTTTATTGTTGGATCTGAAACTTTAATGGTTACAGAGAAGTTATTATTGATTTGGAGAAGACTGATGCAAGTCCAGGTGGTTTTGTTACATTTGAAAAAAGGCAACTCACTTTTTTGTCTGCATTTCTAAAAAGGAAAAAGGCTGCTTAGTAGGAATGTTCATTACCTTAAAATGGAAGTAATGCTGAGTGGATGCTAACTGTTAGAAATCAGAAAAGTGTCGCTATAAAATAATCCATTATTTCCAACTAATGTTTTATGGGAAACTATGACACTAATAATACTTCTGGTGTTCTTTCTTTAGGTGAGAGACCATTTGTTTGTGACTCAGAAGGTTGTGGCTGGTCCTTTACCAGCATGTCGAAGTTACTTCGACATAAAAGGTAATTTTTTTGGTAAAAGTTTAGTTTATTTTTACTGAATGTATAGAGTAGAAATGTCCAAAAATTATGAAGACATTTTAGCCAGTGACCCATTTACACAAACATTAACACAGCTTTTGCAAATAAATTTGATGTTGACAGATTCTTTGTAAGATTCTTGGTTGTTTGTGTGTATTTCCATCTGTCAGGAAACATGATGATGACCGTCGCTTTATCTGCACAGAGGAGGGTTGTGGGAAGTCCTTCACCAGGGCCGAGCACCTCAAGGGCCACAGCATCACCCATCTGGGCACCAAGCCGTTTCAGTGCCACGCAGAAGGTACACAACATGTTTTTTAGATAGTTTTCGAGATGGCTTTGGCTTTTCTTTTTCTGTTTAACGAGTTTGCTGTGCAGTCGATGGCTTAAGTGGTGTTCACATCTCTTATGTTCCTCAGGCTGCAACGCCAAGTTTTCAGCACGCAGCAGCTTGTACATACACTCCAAAAAGCATAAGCAGGATGCCAGCACCCTCAGGACGCGCTGCCCTGTGGCCAGCTGCTCCAAGTACTTCTTCTCCCGGAGCAGCCTCAAGAGTCACATTCTGAAACACCACCACCTCAGCCCTGGTTAGTAACCAAGTTTTCCCACATGACACATAAATGCTTATTCTGATTATTTAGACGCAGGGTTAATATATCTGTTAATGCATAACTTTGTTGAGCTATTTGTTCTGTACTTTTTCTGGAAACCATCACGTGAACACTTAATGTCAGATCAAACGCTTGTTTTAACTTAATTGTGTTTTCTCTTGTTGATCGTTACATACGGTCTTGAAGTAATAAAACTTGATTAAGTTGCAGTTGTTTGTTTATTCGGTTTCTTTTCTATTTCAGAGTTGTGGATTGCGTTCTTGCATGTGTTTTTGTGCAAGTGGTTGAAACTCCTCTGAGTTAACCTTCTCCACTCCCCCCCTACAGATGCTCTTAGCCAGATGGAAACCACACCCACCCTGACCCCCAGCAGCGAGCTCATCAGCTCCAACCCCACGGCGGGGGCAGGGCCTTGTATAGCTGGCGTTGACCAGCTGACCAACCTGGACCTCAGCTCCCTGTTCTCCACTGTGCCCGGGGGCCCCGCCCCCACTGCTGGCATCGGGGTGGGAATTTCTGTGGCAGGGAGCAGCTCCAACGGCCCCTTTGCGATGGACCATTCCCTGGTCAACCCAGGCATTCTCACCATTGACCCTTCTTCAGTGGGCACTACGCTGGTCACCAGCGCTGGCGCCACATTGGCCAAAGCCTTGGACCCCCTTATCATGGCGTCCAGCACCGACACGGCCGCCCAGCATGGCCTGGAGGGAACGGTCTGCGATGTCCTGCCCCCACAGGGCACTCTCAATCTGGACGACGTGCAGACGGTGACCCCGGAGGCCCTGGGCAGCCTCACGTCTCTCTCTATTCAGGGTGCGGGGGCTCCTGGGGACCCCGCCCTGCAGCACCCGCTGCACTCTGCCGGTGCGCTGACCGTGGAGCCTGCAGCGTCCATAGCTGCGGCCCCTGTTGCCGAGCTGCTGGCCTCGCCCTCTAAGGGGGGGGAGGGGGGGGGCCCGGCGGGCGCAGGGCCCCTGCTGGGCTGTGTGGAGGTGCTGGGCCGGCCAGACGGAGGGAAAGTCCTCACGCAGTTCGTTTTTCCCACTCACACCAACGGCTTCAGTCCACAGAAAGAACCGGAACTCAACGCAGGCAGCTTCCTGGTAAGCAGCCACAGTCAGCTCTTTATGCAGATTTAGAGGTTAATAGTTGAGAGTTAAGTTTAGCAGTTTTGGAGAGCAAAAAATGTTTTATTTGACCGTCGCCTTTGGGCTTAAAGAAGCTTCCAGCATAGCCATATTGACTTAATGATTATTTGCTTTTTATGTGTGTATATATATGTGTATCTGTGAGTAAAATTAGTACCTGTGAGCTTTTCTCCTGTCATTGAGTTTAAATGTTTTTATATTTGCTTTTTAAAACAAGCTTACGGTATTTAGGTTATGAATTAAAATGGAATTATCCCCTGATAGTGACAGTTACAGTGGCTGTAACCTTAATGCGCATCGGTTCTGTTGTTCAGGAATGTGTAGGCTCAGCGAGGACCGACTACAGGGCCATCCAACTGGCCAAGAAGAAAAAGCAAAAAGGCTCTTCAGCTACAATGGGTAACAAATACATCTAGAATCCCCGAATTTGAGTCTTTCACTCAACTTTCAGTGACGCTGCAGACTCAAATGAGCTTTTTTGGTTTCTTTTTGTGCTATCTAGGGATTCCAGGGCCATGCCAGAGGAAGTCCAAAGGCTCAAAGGCCTCAGCGCCCCTGCCCTCTGCTGCTGCCCGCTACAGTGATGGAGCCTCAGCTGCCGGGGGGCTCACGCTGCGAGACCCTGTCACCGGGGCCCAGTACGTCCAGATCCAGCTGCTGCAGGTCAGGCTCACACACCCACACACAGCCTAAGGCTTTTGGGGATGACCTGTATTTGGCCAGTAATACCTGGCCCTGTGTGGCTCGGCTCCAAGAGGTTTAGGTCAGTTTGCTTTGCAAATTATGGCCGAGCAGAAAGCCTGGAAAGCCCTGCTGTTTCCCAGCTGTCACTTCCCTTTCTGAAACCCTTCTTTTTAAACTTCCTTTCCATGGAAACATTTTTATCTTGTCTGTGTTACTAACTATAGATGTGAGCTTTCGTATAAATTTAGAGGAAATGGTATCGTTTCCTATTGAGAACCATAAGCAGTTTGAACAGATTTTGGAGGTTTGGAAACGTTTCCTGGAGTAATTCCAGAAGCTCACAAAACACAAACACGTGTCTTCTGCCATTTGGGGAAAAAATGCATTTTATATTTCTATTTGACCACCCCGGTTTGATGTATTGATAAAAAAGCTTGACAATCTATCACAGAAGAGCCAGGATTTCCAAACTTAGTCTTAAGTGGCAGTCAACTGCATGAAGGAATGAATTCATGTTCTAACATCACAGGATGAATGATTCCTGAAGTTGGGTTAAATTCTGGAGCTTCTTTACCCACAGCTTTTACGGCTACTGTAAACGCACACTGGAACTATATCACTGTAACCACGGTAACTAGGTGCCAGTGCTGAAACTGAGGGCACCTGTGGGAGGCAAAACATAGTGACACCCCCCTTTACTCTCAGTTCCTCTAGTTCATGGCTCCTTCTGGTTTGGACGCTTTGTAAATAGATCTATGGAAAAGCTGGAATACAGAGTCAGCTTTGCTGTATGTTTGGGATTTACTAAAGGAAATG